TCTATCCCTTCCGTTATGCCTTCACATATACCAAGAACAGCACAGGTCCTAGGACTGACCCCTGTGGAACCCCGCTTGTCACAGGCCCCACTCTGACACCTCGTCGCGTACCCCTGACTCGTTTTTGCCTCCCTGTCAGATATTTTCTGATCCATTGCAGTGCCTTCCTGTATGTGTGCCTGGTCCTCTACTTTTTCAGTAACCTCTTGTGGGGGAACTGGGTCGAAGGCCTTCTTGCAGTCCAAAAATATGCAGTCGATCCACCCCTCTCTCTCTTGTCTTACTTCTTGTCACCTTGTCATAAAACTCTAGTAGGATTGTGACACAGGATTTTCCTTCCCTGAAATCGTGCTGGTTGACAATTATACACTTGTTTCTTTCCAGGTGCCCCACCACTCCCTCCTGATGATCTTCTCCATGACCTTGCATACTATACACGTTAGTGATACAGGTCTGTAGTTTAGTCCTCATGTCTGTCCCCCTTTTTAAAAATTGGGACTACATTTGCCATTTTCCATACCTCAGGGAGTTGCCCAGTTTCAAATGATGCGTTGAAGATCTTTGTTAATGGCTCACACAATATCTCTGCTCCCTCTTTAAGGACCCATGGAGAGATGTTGTCTGGTCCCACCGCCTTTGAGGTGTCAAGTTCGCATAGCAGCTTCTTCACCTCCTCCTTGTTATGTGTACCTCATCCAGCACTTGCTGGTGTGCCCCCCTGTTCTGATTTCTTGGAGTCCTACTGGTTTCCACTGTAAATACCTCTTTAAATCTTGTGTTGAGCTCCTGACAAACCTCTCGGTCGTTTCTTGTGAATTCCCCATCACCCTTCCTCAGTCTGATTACCTGGTCCTTGACTGTTGTTTTCCTCCTGATGTGGCTGTACAACAGCTTCGGGTCAGTCTTTACTTTTGATGCTATGTCATTTTCATATTGTCTCTGAGCCTCCCTTCTTATCTGTGCATATTCGTTTCTGGCTCTTCGGCTGATTTCTTTCTTTTCCTGAGTTCTCTGTCTTCTGTACCTTTTCCATTCTCTAGTACACCTAGTTTTTTGCCTCCCTACACCTTTGGGTGAACCAAGGACTCGTTATGTTCTTCCCATTATTTCTGTTTCCCTTGGGAACAAACCTCTCCTCTGCCTCCTTGCATTTTGTTGCTACATAGTCCATCATTTCTTGTACTGGTTTTCCTGTCAATTCCCTCTCCCACTGAATGTGTGTGTGTGTATGAGTTTGTGTATGTGTGTGTGTGTGGTGTGTGTGTGTGTGTGTGTGGTGTGTGTGTGTTTATGTGTGTTGTGTGTGTGTGTGTGTGTGTGTGTGTTGTGTGTGTTTTGTGTGTGTGTGTGTGTTGTGTGTGTGTGTGTGACTCAACAATCAATATTTGCACCAATAACTCACTACAGTTGTGACCGGGTGTGGAAGTGTGAATTGCTCATTACTCTAAAATTTGTTCATGATTGTAGCCATGTATAAACGCAAGTAACCATTCTTACAGTATTCATTACCTTTGTAACTTGTGAGTTCATTACCTTGTACCTAGTTCAGCCATCAAAACTTTGGGGCCTAGTCCCTGGACCCATTGTGTACCTCTATAATCTGTTAATACCTTTGTAACTTGTCATGATTGTGACTAGACCTACCTGGAGTTCATTACCTTTGTAAATTGTGAATTCATTACCTCTGTAACTTGCTCAGCCATCAAAACTTTGAGGCCCAGTCCCTGGACCCATTATGTACCTCTGTAATCTTTTGACTACCGCCTACAGGATGGGTATGGGGTGCATAATAAACATATTAAACTTAACCGCTTTGTCTCACGCTTCCTGCCAATGGAAACTAATGGCTGGTGTGAGCAAGCAATTAATATTAACAGGTTCAAGCATTATGTGGTCATGGCCAGGGTCTGAAATTATCTTCCACGACGCAGGAAGTGTCTTCTGGTTTTGAGTTATAAGAGAACAGTGAAAGGGACTATGGAGGAGAAGAGGAAGAAGAAGAAAGAAGAATACCGCAATGTTCAGTTCACTTATTAATTAATTACCTCTTGACTAAAAGTATCCTTGATAATCTACCTTGATGCCGGGACTCCACACATATGTGTTGTCTGGTCAATGGTTAGACTGTGTTGACACTTATTTTTTTTGCATGTGTGTGCACTCACATTTGCGGTTGCAGGGGTCGAGTTACAGCTCCTGGCCCCGCCTCTTCGCTGGTCGCTACTAGATCTACTCTCTCCCTGCTCCATGAGCTTTATCATACCTCTTCTTAAAGCCATGTATAGATCCTGCCTCAACTACATCACTCCGGATTGTGTGTATGTATACTCATCTATATGTAATTGCATGGGTCGAATCCTAGCTCCTGGTTCCACCTTTCAACTTGAATTATAACGCAGAGTGTTCCAGTGTGTTAGTGAGTTCCTGAATGATAAACGGCAAAAACTAACAGTAAGGAATGAGACAGACTGAGAGTAGTTTACTTTTAGTTTAATATCTTTATTATGCACACCATACCCATCCTGTGGGCGGTAGTCAGAAGATTACAGAGGTACATAATGGGTCCAGGGACTTTACTCCAAAGTTTTGATAGCTGAACAAGTTACAAAGGTAATGAACTAGATCTGGTCACAATCATGACCAAGTTACAAAGGTAATGAGCTAAAGGTAGAGCTGGCCACAATCATGACAAGTTACAAAGGTAATGAATAACAAACACGTCCATACATGGTTACAATCATGAACAAATTACAGAGTAATGAGCAATTAACAAACATTGTAGGGAATTCATCCATTGCCCCAACAACAGATATTGTTAGGTGCCTGTCCCTCCTCGGCAGGACAGCCAGACAGCCATTGCAAACAGCAGCAGGTTGCGCCAGGATCTTCTGCTTGCAGGAGCACCATCGACCCTCCCTAAGAGGTCCAAGAGGTCAGCGACTCCGCTAGCAGGCCGAGGGAGAGCTGCCCTGGGGACGTGTGAACGTCCTGGTGGACGCCAAGTTGATTGTAGATCCCAGGCCCTCTGTAAAGGTGAAGGTTCAGCAGCTGTCACCCATGTCTGCTGGGAGGGGCTGTTGGTTGTTCCCACCTGGAGCCCTCCAGGTGCCCAGACATCCACCGTGTGCACGGATGTTGAAGCTTGAGGAACTGAGTGTACACTGCCTGTGGCAAACCTGACAGGCGCCTCGCGGTCGAACCCCACGGCGCTGTCCCTGCAGTGTCATCGCTGACGTGGGCTGGGAGGGAAAAAGTATCCACTACAGTTGGGGTAGCGCTGGGAGTTTGGTGGTGGGTGAGGCGGGGGCGTTGAATGGTTGAGTCGTAAGAGTGTGAGAGTAATGAGTGGGATTTCGCGGGGTTCATTACTAGGGCCACTACTGTTCTAATATACGTGAATGACCTACCACCGTTTGCTGATGATGCAAAACAAATGAGAAGAAGAAGAACATGAGAAGATAGTGATATCTTCCAGAGAGGCCTCAATAGGCTGCAGATAGGAAGGAACACAAATGGAAACTGAAAATACAGATGAGCACTAAGGAGGAAACGAAGTATTTCTTTAGTCTCAAGGCGACTGAAAAGTGGTTTGAATTGGATGAGGCAGTGGTAGAAGCGACGCTCCACTATTTCAAGAATAAATCTGATACGGCCCACGAGTCAGTGTTGACGGCAGCCGACCAGTTAGTTTTTCTCTTACATAAGCCTTCAGGAATAATGATAAAGTTGATAACCTAGCTAAGAAGCATTAAATATAGATTATTATTATTATAATCAAAAAGAAGCGCTAAGCCACAAGGGCTATACAGCATCCTATTAAATACAGAGAATGTCGAATACAATTTTGGTTTCTCGAATAGAAATTTAAACAAAATATTGTCAGAAAAGAACTAGAAAACGATATGAAAGAAGGCAGAACAGTGCAAATAGGAACTAACACATCAATTGACAGCCATAATGAAATGTATCAAAGTAAGCATATTTATGGAGAAAGTAATCAGGCCAGTAGATTGCAAGATGTTATTATTGTTAGACTAAGGCTAGGTTCTAAGTATCGCTGGCAGTATGGTTTGTATAGAGATGCAAAATGCAAAGTGTGTGGAGACAGTGCTGGAATGCTGTTTCTTGGAGAGCTCAAGTAAGTTTATTTAGGTATAGGTACACACAAATACAGTTACACAAATTATCCTACATAGTAACATATGTGTAGATAACCTAGGATAACTCAAAAAAGTCAGACAGACTTATTTCCCAAGCATTCAACCTTTCAGAGACACCTTCATGGATATCCTACAGGATATGCCTAACACTTCACTGTTAGTGATAAAATATCTGAAGTCTTGAGGCTATACCCCCCATTTTGCGTCTACTGCCCCCCAGAGGATGGATATGGGGTGCATAATAAAGGTATTAAACTAACGAGTGCATTGCCAACCGAGATACCTGTGGCTTCTATTTACAAAATATATAAACGGGTCAGCCATATGATTAAGACTCTTGTCCTGTTTCCTGGCGAATATTATAACAAATTATATTCACAAAGAGACTTATTTTACTCCCTGTCCCTTTCCTTTCATGGTCCAGCTTCGGGCAGTGTCTCTTAGGTACACCGGGAAGCAGGGTTCGATAAGGCGTAACCTGAAGTATGTGTAACAGTTGGGTATATTTATTGATAAAAAGTTTCGCTTACACGGTAGGTGTCTTTTCTTTGTCAAATACGGAGGCAGCAGGTACAGTAGTGAAATAAAGATGTGTGATCAGTCCATCAACCCTTGAGATAAAGTATTTGAGGTGGTCAGTCCCTCAGCCTGGAGAAGAGATCAGCTCCATAGAGCTGCTGTACCTGCTGCCTCCTTATTTGACAGAAGAAACCTACTGTGTAGGCGAAAGGTTTCATCAATAAAGATACCCAACTGTTGCACAAGTGTCATAATCTTCATTTATTATTATTATTATTATAATAAAAAAGAAGCGCTAAGCCACAAGGGCTATACAGTGTCATAATCTTCAACTTGTCGGTATTTCACACCATTTTCAATATAAGGCGTAAGCTGTCAGTGGCCCATTACAACCCCAACAAGAATGAGAAGCAGTAGCAACTTGACAGCTTGTAAAGATGGCTTTAAATAGACTACAAGAAGAAGCTGGTGCAGCAGGTATGATACACGTGTTCTGCAATAACTTACAGTATTGTGCATGCTTTTGTCGCAGCGGAGAGAATGGAGAACTAGTGTAAGATATGCTCCAACGTTAGTTATGTAACTAAAATTGACACGTAACCATGACACTGAGATAGTTCTCTTGACGTTAAGATTTGTTGGGATTTTTAATCCGGGGTTACCCGGGGTAGGGAGGGTTAGCCACCAAGGATAACCTGAGTTAGGGAGGGCTAGCTACCCAGGATAACCTGGGTTAGGGAGGGCTAGCCACCCAGGATAACCCAGGGTAGGGAGGGCTAGCCACCCACGATAACCTGGGTTAGGGAGGGCTAGCCACCCAGGATAACCCGGGGTAGGGAGGGCTAGCCACCCAGGATAACCTGAGTTAGGGAGGGCTAGCCACCCAGGATAACCTGGGTTAGGGAGGGCTAGCCACCCAGGATAACCCAGGGTAGGGAGGGCTAGCCACCCAGGATAACCCAGGGTAGGGAGGGCTAGCCACCCAGGATAGCCCAGGGTTGGGAGGGCTTTGCCACCCAGGATAACCCGGGGTAGGGAGAGCTAGCCACCCAGGATAACCTGGGCTAGGGAGGGCTAGCCACCCAGGATAGGGAGGGCTATCCACCCAGGATAACCCAGGGTAGGGAGGGCTAGCCACCCAGGGTAACCTGGGGTAGGGAGAGTTAGTCACCCAGGATAACCCAAGAAAGTCACTGCATCATCAAGGACTGTCTGTCTTATTTCCAAAGTGCTCTTTTAATCTTGCTCGAAATGCACATGCATGCTAGTGGATTTTTTGTGCTTAACAGTATTTTATTACATGTAAACTACATTTTTGTACTTCATAAAGAAAAATAAATTGTTTGTTCCCCTGGATGCGACCCACAACAGTCAACTAAGACTTAAGTACCTACTTACTGTTAGGTGAACAGGGACAGCAGGTTTAAGGTGACACACCCAGGTACCTACTTTTAGGTGAACAGGAACATCAGGTACATATATGGTGACTAACACCCAGGTACCTGCTTACTGCTAGGTGAACACGGACAGCAGGTGTAAGGAAACATGCCCAACATTTCCACCCGTGCCAGGGATTGAACCACGGACACTGTGTGAGGCGAGTGCATTGCCTACCAAGCCATGAGGTTCATTGTTTTTACTATGGTTACATTAAGCATGTGACTATCGTAGATATAAATTGGTGGTAAATTATGAAGACAACTTAGAATAACTCAATAAAGTCAAATTGTAATTCAGAGTCCTTAGATTGAAACTTCAGTGGAAAGTTTTGAATAAATTATACCTGGGATAATTTTAAATTTTGTTTTGCACTATATGTATTTTATTTGCATGCTAGATGCATTTTGGAAAACTTTGTTATTGGAGAAGGCTTATCTGGTTGCTCAAAGATTCGTTTTTTTCCCCAGTGTATATATTTAGCTTTCTTCATCACACTGTAGAGAAAATGTGTTGATATATACAGTGGCCACAAAAAAATCTATACGTTAATCATTTTTGGACAATAAAACGAAAAAATGCATTTTATTTTCACCCTTTAGCTTCCAACTAGTACTTGGTCATGTTACCCTTTTTCTTTATTACCTTCTAAAGTCGCCTGTGCATCGAAGTGACGAGGGTGGAGAAGAAGGAGGCATCCATCTTGATCCAAAGCTTCTTCAGTGCCTCCTGCAGGTCTGTGATGTTTGTGGGTTGAGCTTTTGCAATCTCATTTTCCATCACATGCCAGGCATTCTCGATAGGATTTAGGTCAGGGAAATTGCCTGGCCACTCCAAAACACTGATGTTATTCTCTTCGAGAAACTTTTGCACTGCTATTGACTTATGAGCAGGGGCACCATCATGAATAAAAAAATCACACTCGTGAATGTACCAAAATGTCAGCATATGGTCCCTTAACACCTCAATATAATTACTTCCCTTCATTGTATGTTCTTAGGAAGGAGGTATAGTCCACCCCTGCCCTTATAACCACTAAAAGCACCCCAGACCATAACAGTGTCAGGGTGCTTCACTGTCCTCACAGTGTACCGCAGGTCATAATGGGACACACCATTGGGACAACGGATGGTCTTGGAGTCGCTCCTGACAAGCCTGAAAGTACTCTCATTGCAGAACATCACCTTCTGCCACTAGTCTGAGGTCCACTCCTTATACTTCTTGCAGAGCTGAAGCTGTTTCTTCTTAATGGCTTCAGTTAGCATGGGTTTCTTGGCAGCACGTCGAGCAGGCATTTTCAGGTCCTTTTGCAGTCGGTGCTGAATGGTTCGCACTGTGATGTCTTTCAAGAGTGCAGGATGCTTTTTCTTGAGGTCTCTGGGCTGTTATGGCAGGATCTGATAACACTTCCCTCTTCAGGATCTTGTCTGTGCAAAGAGAAGTCTTTTTGGGGATCCTAGAGCCCAATTTCCTGGGTGGTACGGTGCTTTCTTGAGGTTGTAAATTGCCATCCTAGTCACCTTCAGGTCTATGGCTATGCATATCACAGATATGCCTTGCTCTAATAGGGCAAATGCACGGGTCTTCTCTGCAATTGCAAGTTTAGTTCAACCCATTCTGACCACTTGGAGCGGAGATATAGCGTGGCAAAGTTTGTGGTTGGGTGAAAAAAAGGGGCAATGAGGAACAAAGTAGCAAACCTCCTACCTCAACGAGCTCTAGCAGAGCACTGAAGCATGGCATAATGGGGAACAATGGAGCAAGATGGGCTCCAGTAGACAAAGTCATCACAAGCTCCACCCACTTTTATTATGGTGGAAACGCAAGTGAAATGTATGCACCAAAATCACGTGTATAGATTTTTTTGCGTTGTAAATGTATAGATTTTTTTGCGGCCACTGTACATGTATGTGTGTTTGTTTTTGTTTTTGTTTGTATATGTGATGGGGGATACAGTAGTTTTCAATGAAAACAGACTAGATTTGTATTCAATTTCTGTTTTTCAGCAAACCTTGTGGAAATGGACTCGGTGCCAGGAGGATATGAATTAGTCAGTCCACATCGCACTAATAAGGTGGATAGTTTGGATTTAGTAGAACTTGCAAAGGAAATCCAGAAGGTTAGTAAAGAATAAAAACTATTAATACATTGCATTATTATTATTTTATTATGTAAAAAAGTGCTAATGGTGACTCAGAATAAAAATTATTCTGGGTCACCACTAGATAACACAGGAATTCAACCATAAATTCATGTATCCACCAGAGAGGTAAGAAAAATTACTGTACTCTACTTTTAAAGCTTTTATTTTCAGGTACCGTACTGTTATTAACTATAGTATATTGTTATATGGTAGTTTATTAATGATATGTCCAATAGTTTCATCAGTGAAGTGGACTAAGGCTGCTGTATTGAGCATTTGTCCTTGTGTGTAAGCCATCGATGCTACACCAGGTACCTCTGTGTAATGGGTCTTCATCTCAGTGGACACACTCCTCTCTATTCCACACCTTGGTATCACTGTATTTAGAAATCATAAAAACAGTGTGTATTTGTAACCTGTAATAATGTGAGCACAGTAGCTATATATCCATAAATACTGTAAGACTTTAAGAGCATTAATTACAATACAGTTTTGCTGAAACATTCTAAGGAAAAACCAATAAAGAAACCTTTTCATTATTCAACATTTTCATTCTTTTTTGCTGGTCTTGCTTTTGAGCTGTGAGTATCATGCTGATATGTCTGGCAGTTGTATTTTCATAAACCTTTCACAGCATAAAGTGCATGTAGAGGACATGAAATTTATCTTCATGAAGCATATTCATATGTATTTGCTACTTACTAAGGACTCGGGGAATATTGCATCACTTATTTTGGCAGGTAAATAATGAATATCAAACAGTTAATTAATATTTTTATTATTAGTCAAATATTTTACTCTTTTTTTTTTATACAGTGATGTATTTTTTTATTAATTTTAAAATTTGACTACCAGTAGTCTTGCATATTAACTGTGTTACACTTGGAAAGACTTACAATGATTCTCAGTTGCAATGCATCAAGTGTCCATCATGGACAGCATAAGTTTCTTCTTAACAAAAATTAACCACACTCCATTAAAATAGTGTTGGAAAACCCATTGTTGATAAGAGTTTACTTAAGTTTGTACAGATAAGGTTTTTTTAAAGATTTTATAAAATAAAATACAAGTACAGTGGACCCCCGCATACCGTTGGCATCACATAACGATTAATCCACATACCGCTTGCTTTAATCGCAAAAATTTTGCCTCGCATACCGCTTAAAAACCCGCTCACCGCTGTTCGTCCGAGACGCGTCCAATGTGCGCCTTAGCCAGCCTCACATGTTCCGCCGGTGGCATTGTTTACCAGCCAGCCTCCGCGGTAGCATCCAAGCATACAATCGTAACATTTCGTATTATTACAGTGTTTTTGGTGATTTTATCTGGAAAATAAGTGACCATGGGCCCCAAGAAAGCTTCTAGTGCCAACCCTACAGCAATAAGGGTGAGAATTACTATAGAGATGAAGAAAAAGATCATTGATAAGTATGAAAGTGGAGTGCGTGTCTCCGAGCTGGCCAGGTTGTATAATGAACCCCAATCAACCATCGCTACTATTGGTGGTACAGCTGCTGCTGCTGCTGCTGCACTGTCAGCTGCTGCTGCTGCTGTAGCATCGTCTGCTGCTGCTGTAGCATCGTCTGCTGCTGCTGTAGCATCGTCTGCTGCTGCTGTAGCACTGTCAGCTGCTGCTGCTGCTGTAGCATCATCTGCTGCTGCTGCTGCTGTAGCATCGTCTGCTGCTGCTGCTGCTGTAGCATCGTCTGCTGCTGCTGCTGCTGCTGTAGCATCGTCTGCTGCTGCTGCTGCTGTAGCATCGTCTGCTGCTGCTGTAGCACTGTTGTTGGTGTGGCTTATTGAGAATATACCAAGAAACAATTAACCCCAGAGGATTTTCCACCCAGGATAACCCAAAAAAGTCAGTGTCATCGAAGACTGTCTAACTTATTTCCATTGGGGTCCTTAAGCTTGTCTCCCAGGATGCAACCCACACCAGTCGACTAACACCCAGGTGAACAGGGAAAAATGCCTGGAACTAGTGCTCATATTGGTGAATTTAAAGCCAGCAAAGGTTGGTTTGAGAGATTTAAGAATCGTAGTGACATACACAGTGTGATAAGGCCTGTTCTGGAAGAAAATGCCAAACAGGACCTACAGTACTCAGGAGGAAAAGGCACTCCCAGGACACAGTGTCTCATCAGTCATTGCTGCATCTTCAATAAAGGTAAGTGTCATTTATTCTTCATTTAGTAGACTAGTACATGCACAATATATACTGTGCATGTACTACTCTACTATTGTGCATGTATCCTTCTCTTTGTGTGTAGGGAAATGTATATTTCATGTGGTAAAAATTTTTTTTTCATACTTTTGGGTGTCTTGCACGGATTAATTTGATTTCCATTTAGATAAGGCTAAAGAGGTCTTTGTGGCATTTATGGATTTGGAAAAGGCGTATGACAGGGTGGATAGGGGGGCAATGTGGCAGATGTTGCAAGTGTATGGTGTAGGAGGTAGGTTACTGAAAGCAGTGAAGAGTTTTTACGAGGATAGTGAGGCTCAAGTTAGAGTATGTAGGAAAGAGGGAAATTTTTTCCCAGTAAAAGTAGGCCTTAGACAAGGATGTGTGATGTCACCGTGGTTGTTTAATATATTTATAGATGGGGTTGTAAGAGAAGTAAATGCGAGGGTTTTGGCAAGAGGCGTGGAGTTAAAAGATAAAGAATCACACACAAAGTGGGAGTTGTCACAGCTGCTCTTTGCTGATGACACTGTGCTCTTGGGAGATTCTGAAGAGAAGTTGCAGAGATTGGTGGATGAATTTGGTAGGGTGTGCAAAAGAAGAAAATTAAAGGTGAATACAGGAAAGAGTAAGGTTATGAGGATAACAAAAAGATTAGGTGATGAAAGATTGAATATCAGATTGGAGGGAGAGAGTATGGAGGAGGTGAACGTATTCAGATATTTGGGAGTGGACGTGTCAGCGGATGGGTCTATGAAAGATGAGGTGAATCATAGAATTGATGAGGGAAAAAGAGTGAGTGGTGCACTTAGGAGTCTGTGGAAACAAAGAACTTTGTCCTTGGAGGCAAAGAGGGGAATGTATGAGAGTATAGTTTTACCAACGCTCTTATATGGGTGTGAAGCGTGGGTGATGAATGTTGCAGCGAGGAGAAGGCTGGAGGCAGTGGAGATGTCATGTCTGAGGGCAATGTGTGGTGTGAATATAATGCAGAGAATTCGTAGTTTGGAAGTTAGGAGGAGGTGCGGGATTACCAAAACTGTTGTCCAGAGGGCTGAGGAAGGGTTGTTGAGGTGGTTCGGACATGTAGAGAGAATGGAGCGAAACAGAATGACTTCAAGAGTGTATCAGTCTGTAGTGGAAGGAAGGCGGGGTAGGGGTCGGCCTAGGAAGGGTTGGAGGGAGGGGTAAAGGAGGTTTTGTGTGCGAGGGGCTTGGACTTCCAGCAGGCATGCGTGAGCGTGTTTGATAGGAGTGAATGGAGACAAATGGTTTTTAATACTTGACGTGCTGTTGGAGTGTGAGCAAAGTAACATTTATGAAGGGATTCAGGGAAACCGGCAGGCCGGACTTGAGTCCTGGAGATGGGAAGTACAGTGCCTGCACTCTGAAGGAGGGGTGTTAATGTTGCAGTTTAAAAACTGTAGTGTAAAGCACCCTTCTGGCAAGACAGTGATGGAGTGAATGATGGTGAAAGTTTTTCTTTTTCGGGCCACCCTGCCTTGGTGGGAATCGGCCGGTGTGATAATAAAAAAAAAAAAAATAATAAAATATTTCTTATGGGGAAAATTCATTCGCATACCGATTATTTCGCATACCAATGAGCCCTCTTGCACGGAATAAAATCGGTATGCGGGGGTCCACTGTATAAAGTTGATGCAGGAGAAGCCTGTAAGCTTATTGAAGAAAAAAGTGCTTTACAGCAATTTTGAATTCTCATTTCAGGCTGACACTTTTGTACATGCTAACGTAAGTAATAAGCTGCAGGTGATTGCAGAACAAGTGCGCTTTCTTCAGGAACAAGCCAGAAAAGTCCTTCAAGAAGCTAAGGACAATGCTGACCTTCATCACATCCCATGCAACTTCGTCAAGAAACCAGGCAGCACTTACCATCTTTATCGGCGACCATCTGGCCAAAAGTATTTCTCCATTATCAGCCCAAAGGTATGAATTATTCAGAATTTCTGGCCCATATATCGTCACTAGATACATTTAATTTTTTTTTTTTTTTTTTACATTTTGCTCTCTGGCCAAAAGTATTTTTCCACCCTCAGCCCAAAGGTATGAAACGTTAAAATGACAACTATTGCAATTTTTCTGGCCCGTATATCTTAATTAGGTACAATGTTTTTGTATTTCTAATGCAACATGTTACTTTTTCTTTTATTTAAGTATATTGCTATCTGTTTCCTTATATTGAGTATGGTTTCTTGATTCAAGTTTATGCATATTGTAGAGGGGTGTTAATGTTGCAGTTTTATAACTGTACTGTAAGTGTGCCTCTGGCAAGACAGTGGAGTGAAAGTTGGTAAAAGTTTTTCTTTTTTGGGCCACCTTACCTTGGTGGGAAACAGCCTATGTATTAAAAAAAATAAAAGCATATTGTAGATGTACAGTTGGTATTATTACATGGCTTTGCCCATAAAAATCATCCTCATATTCTTTGTCAACCTAATGTAATGTATACTTTTTTGTATTATTATTATTATAATCAAAAAGAAGCGCTAATACTTTTTTGTATAATTCATTACACTTACATCTGCACTGTAAATGGTTTTAGCTTGTATTTAAAACATTAGATGCTCTCTTCATCATTAATTATTTGCTCTCTCATTTTTAATTCAAATTTTATTTTTTTTATTAGTATTTAGCTTAAATTATGCTCTTACTATCATAGTCTTCAACTGCATAAAAAGTTACCTTGTTTTTTCAGATGAAAGGGTATTGAAGGTAAATTTTTCACCCAGATTTTCTTGTAAAACTGCTATTTCAAAGTAATGCAATTTCTCTTTTATGTGTTGGGAGGGCATTTGGCTAGGGAAGATCAAAAAGTACTAGAGGGTTAGACATTTATAATTTATGATTGGTGTAACAATGGTCTACTTTGTCCAGATAAAGCTATGGCTGAGTATCTGCAACTTTCAGAGGATTGACCAAAAGAGCAATAGAGTGGGATTCGTTCATGTATCTTCTGAAAAGTCAGCTAATTCTAGTGTGATTTTTCTTTGTGTCTTTCCCTTGGTACCTTCATCTCTAATTCAACATTTTCACCTTTTCCTTTCTACTATCTCTTTCACATTTGCTGTAGAGCACTGATTGACCCTCATGGGTTTAGAGCTTTCCATGAACATGATCTACAATGATCACCTGTGGATCTCTTTTAAGTACCTGGTATGCCTATGTAGCTCAGAATCTCATGCCTCCTGATTTCAATTTTTTTTATTTTCAAGTTTCGCTGATTTTAGCATCATTTATGTTACTGTATTCATTCTGATATTAAACGGAAGCTAAACCAGTCTAAAATCACAGAACAGGTGGGGCTCGAACCAGGCCAGCGTGCTTACCACTATGCCAGCTGCCTCTAATAGGATTCATCCAACTAGGTATATTTCTATACATTATAGGGAGGTTAGCATGGGCTACCACTGTGACTACAAACTTAGGTTTTTACAGACAGATCCCACACCAGTATGACTGTGGCATGCTCTAGCTCTTGTCCTTTCAATGCTGCCATCATGACTCGTGAAACCATAATGCAATTACAGACAAATCACAGAACCGGCGAGGCTTGAACTCATGGCAGACGAGACCTAAAACTCAGTTTCACGAGTCATGACGGTGGCTTTGATGCTAGAGTATGCCACAGCCACACTGGTGTGAGATTTGTCTGCAAAAACCTGAATTTGTGGTCACAGTGGTGGCCCATGCCAACCTCCCTATGGTGTACAGAAATATACCTAGTTAGATAAATCCTATTAGAGGCAGCAGGTCCAGTGGTTAGCACACTGACCTCATTGAGTTTTAGGACTTGCTTGGTATGAGTTTGAGCCCCACCCATTTTGTGATTTGTTTGCAGTCGTGTTATTAAGGTTTCATGCTATATACTCATGCTATATATATCAACGAAAGCAGCAGTTTTTCACTTATACAGCCTCTCCTCACTTAATGACAGAGTTCTGTTCCTAAGACCATGTAAGTAAATGAATTCGTCGCTGAGTGAGGAGCATACTTTAATGGTAGTGGGTTTGTGTCAACAATCTTTTGATATTGTTTTAATGTCACCTTTGCACCATTTATAACATTTCTGGTATATTTTTAAATGTTTATAGCGCACTGTATATTGTAATAAACAGAATAGAGGAAATCAGCTCTAATATACGTTATTTAGGTGTACATACTGTTCAGAGAGCCTGTCGTAAGTCTGAGGTATCGGTAAATGAGTATGTCGCTAAGTGAGGAGAGCTGTATATATATTTTAACAAAACTTTCGTTTATCCTATAATATCCTTCCTATGCTAGAAAAACTTTTGCATGATTCACTTACAAAAATTAATTTCATTTATTTATTTTAGGAGTGGGGATCAACATGCCCGCATGAGTTCTTGGGATCATTCCATTTGGAACACGACCAATCCTGGACAGCAGAGGATAAGATGGAAGAGAGATTAAATGATCAGCAGATGATAGACAAAATTTTGACATGTTCAAACACCTTATCTATAACATTGAGCAAAAAATAGACAAGACCTTTATAGAAGTACATTACAGGTAAAGGAGGGCCCCTCTTATACAGAAGGTTAGGCTCCAGGCTACCACTGTATAGCGAAAATCACCGTAAGACAAATCACCCTTTTTTTTCACTTAAATGCATATAAATGCCTGATAATATGTTTTCACTATGATATATTAAGTTAGCAGTAGAGCTAGGCATGAAAAACACCATAGAAAAGAGTAAGGCGATGAGGTTATCAAATGATTTAGATAAAGAAAAATTGAATATCAAATTGGAGGAGTATGGAAGAAATGAATGTTTCAGATATTTGGGAGTTGACGTGTCAGCAGATGGATTTATGAAGAATGAGGGTAATCATAGAATTGATGAAGGAAAAAAGGTGAGTGGTGCATTGAGGTATATGTGGAGACCAAAAAAATGTTATCTATGGAGGCAAAGAAGGGAATGTATGAAAGTATAGTGGTACCAACACTCTTATATGGGTGTGAAGCTTGGGTTGTAAATGCTGCAGTGAGGAGGCAGTGGAGATGTCCTGTCTAAGGGCAATGTGTGGTGTAAATATTATGCAGAAAATTTGGAGTGTGGAAATTAGGAGGTGTGGAGTTAATAAAAGTATTAGAGGGCTGAAGGTGGTTTGGTCATTTAGAGAGAATGGATCAAAGTAGAATAACATGGAGAGCGTATAAATTTGTAGGGGAAGGAAGGCGGGGTAGGGGTTGTCCTTGAAAAGGTTGGAGGAAGGGGTAAAGGTTTTGTGGGTGAGGGGCTTGGACTTCCAGCAAGCGTGCATGAATGTGTTAGGAGTGAATGGAGATGAATGGTATTTGGGACCTGATGAGCTGTTGGAGTGTGAGCAGGGTAATATTTAGTGAAGGGATTCAGGGAAACTGGTTATTTTTATATAGCCGGACTTGAGTCCTGGAAATGGGAAGTACAGTGCCAGCACTTTAAAGGAGGGGTTTGGGATATTGGCAGTTTGGAGGGATATATTGTGTATCTCAATACATATATGCTTCTAAACTGTTGTATTTCTGAGCACCTCTGCAAAAACTGTGATTATGTGTGAGTGAGGTGAAAGTGTTGAATGATGATGAAAATATTTTCTTTTTGGGGATTTTCTTTCTTGTTGGGTCACCCTGCCTCGGTGGGAGATGGCTGACTTGTTAAAAAAAAAAAAATCTTTAGTTCTACAAGTACATGTACAAGGTATACAGGCCTAGCTGATATCAGTGACATACTACTGTATAGAATGGCCCTTGTTATGCAGAGCATTTCTGGCAGATTAGGTCAGTTTTGTCCTGGGATGTGACCTATACCAGTTGACTAACACTGAGGTACCCATTTTACTGATGGGTGAACAGGATAACAGGTGTAAAGAAACATACCCAATGTTTGCACCCTTGCCAGGAATCGAACCCGGACCCTCAGCTTGTGAAGAGAGAGCTTTGCCTACCAGGCCACAAGCCACCTTAGAGTAAAAGTAAAATGCTCATACAGTACACTCACTGCTTACCTTAAAATATTTGTAGTCTTAATGTAGGGTGAGAGGTGAGCAGTATCTATTGTAGGAAGTCAGGTGTGGTAGCCTGCCCAGCTACCACACCTAACAGTTATGTTTATTTGTTTTACATAAAAGCCACAGCCCAGCTGACTGTAAGTACAATTATCAGAGTACGTATAAAATATGCAGTAACTTTAAAATGTTTGAGAGACAGAGCTCATGGAGGAGCTTGTGGATGCTGTAATAGCGAATCAGGAAGCAGTATAAACAAATTTTTGGCCATAATTTGAATTGTCCATATTAGCGAATTGCTGTAAAGTGGGGCCCTTCATACTGTATGTGCACACATCAGTAAAATAACCATATCAGGGATAAAAACAGCTCTTAAGAAAGAAAAAGAAATTAGGCCTGGCAGGTGCTCTTATAGCAGGTCAGTTTTAAATAGTCATTTTTCTGTACTACAGGTATTCCTCACTTAACGACCTACCTGGTTAACGACCACTCGGACTTACAACCAGCTCTCCGACCCATGTTTATTTAATGCCTAGTTCTATTTTTAATATACTAAAAATGTTATAAATGGTGCAAAGGTGACATTAAAGATGATTGACACAAACCCACTACTAGTCCAGTACGCATGAAATATCAGCAAGGGACAGCTCCTTGCTTAACCCTTTCACTGTCAAGACCCCTGCTCGCAAGGGGAGGGTGGCTCTAGAACCTTACATCAGGAGCCTTTCACTAGCATCTATAGGTACTTTAATGGAAGGGATTATAGGTCACTTCACTTTTTTTTTTTCATTATATTCATTGGAAACAGCTAAACTTACAAGGGTCTTGTAGCATGCCTAATTTTTTTTTTTTTTTGTATCCCAGATGAGTTTAGTAGTTGCCCTTCCATTTCATCATGTCCCCATTCCATGCTCTGTCTGCACGCATTTCTTATTCTAGCTTGTTTAACTATATTATAGGTACCACCTTATCAAATGTCTCTCCATCCATAGTTTTCTTTCTAGACACTGTCATTCATCATTGGGTATTATGCTGATCTAGAGTATTATGGGTGTCTGCAGTTTAAAATCTCTATGCTGTCTATATTTCTTAATCATGGACTTACAGATGCCTATTGTCTCTTACCTTCTTTGCTTCTATAGCCTTCATGATACAAAGACACGTAGATTATTATGAGTGCTAAACCCATATGGGTCATTTAGTGCACAAATCTTATAAAAGCAGCATTTTTTTCACACACTAGTCATCTTCCACCTGTATAGGTTCAGCATTACATAGAAATGATGCTGCCATGAGGGTAAAATGTACAAAGGGTGGGTTCTTATGCTAAAGAAAGTCAGTTATAATAAACCTTTGTTGAAGGTGGAGCTTTTCAAAGAGGGGCAAGGCAGAATAAAGATATCGGGAAATCTCAAGTAAAAAAGGCCTTCTACTTGCTCTGTTCATCTAAGAGAAAAGCACCCATTGACACTTTGTGAGAATTGTAAGTTCTGAAAGATTGTCCCACTCAGAATGTGTAGACTTTTTTTTTAACTATCTTTCAGTGCCCTAACATGTTTATTCTATATTATATAATTATTATTATAATCATGGGGAAGCACTAAACCCATAGGATTATACAGTGCCTGTGGGAGTGGGGGGGATGTAAGGTATTCAGGCTTAATTCAAGGAATAGGAGCACAGATCCATGTTTACTTTAATTTTCTTTCTGACAGCCATATTTTTAATGCATTCACTCTGATTTCTCACATGAAAATGATATATTGCAATAAGCAAGAAATGCATGTTAAAAATGTTATAAAAGGTTCTCCTGTATGTTGTTGGAAATATAAACACTTAAGCAGTATAATGTGATCCTTTACCGACAATGTTTCACTCAAGCAGTGCGCTTTATCAAGTCACAAATAGATCTGTTTGTGACTTGATAAAGCCCATTGCGTAGGCGAAACGTTGTCAATAAAAGATCACAGTGTACTGCTTAAGTGTTTATATTTCCATTGTGTCGGTATTTTATACCATTTATTTCTTTCCTGTATGTTGTTGTTACATAAACCAGAAAAGCTGTAAAACTAAAGTACAGTACCATAAAAAATTCAAATTCCATAATGACTCTTCAATGAATCAAAAACATTCTTATGTACTTGGTAACCCATTATTGTTTACATGTACTCTATCCTCAAACATTTTTCCACAATGCTAGTGTGCTTCATTATGCACTAAGGTGCTGCTGTCTTCATTCCCATTCTCTCCCTCAATGTTTTCTTTAAAAAAGTCAAGTCTTGTATGAAAAATCTTTATTTAAGATTCATTGTAAAAAATGGTATAACTGATTTCTAATTTTATTAATGATTTTCAATATAATAATAATAATACATAAAACTGGGTAAATTAACTGCCTTGTCAACTGTCATAGTATAATATTGATCCATGGAAGATTCCTCTACAGTTCAAATTATCTGAACTATCTGTATTACCTTTAAAAAGACAGTATGAAATTACTTTTAAACATGCATACCTATGGTCAGTTTTCAATGTTATTCTGTTCCTTGAGATAATGTTGAGGCCTGAACATGACAAGTAGTTTAAAGATTATAAGCAAACATTAGGGCACATTAAAAAAGTGACTAAGGTCCCAGGACCAAAACATTTTCTATTATAATCAAGGGGTTAAAACATTTCCTAATACAGTGGACCCCCGCATAACGATTACCTCCGAATGCGACCAATTATGTAAGTGTATTTATGTAAGTGCGTTTGTACGTGTATGTTTGGGGGTCTGAAATGGACTAATCTACTTCATAATATTTCTTATGGGAACAAATTCGGTCAGTACTGGCACCTGAACATACTTCTGGAGTAAAAAAATATCGTTAACCGGGGGTCCACTGTATGTCCTAATGTTTGCTCATGAGTTTTTAAACTACTACCTGAACAGCTCAACTGCTGCTGCCAGTGACACACACAAAAATACCTTATGGGCAAAATTTTGGAGCAAGCCACTGATGTTACTACTTATAAGAAAAAATATAACCACAAAGTTAGTTGCAGGTAGATAAACCTCAGCACAGAATACTTTCATATTTAATGACCATATTCCTTGGAAAGTGGAGCAGAATTCTTCCTATGGAAGTCATAAGAGGTGACCAACATGCCAGGAGCAAGGGGCTAGTAACACCTCCTGTATACATTAATACTAAGAGAAACCTTTGTTTTTCTTTTTGGACCAACCTGCCTCGGTGGGATATGGGTGGTTTTCTGAAAGATTCCTTGAATTTGTTTTAAGATCTACAAATGTGTTTTACAGTTTTTTTATGTTGTAAATTAATGCTCTAAATCGCATTTGATTCTTCACCAAAGAGGAATGTTTCACCAGATATGAACTATTTACTTTTCTTTCATTGATAACTATAGAGAAATAAATAATAAAAATCAACAAGCAAGCTGTTGCCAACAAATTGCTGAATTTTTGTAGTCACAAATTTTTCCTTAATGATAAAGCCTTAATGCAACTCATAAATTAATAATAAATATAGAAAACACACAAAAAAATTTAATATATTTTTATGTACCCAAGGACTAAAGAGATGGCCTTCGTAACCAGTTCTTGGTTCACAATGACACATCAACTGAACCTACATAACACCACAATTTTACCCATACCAAAGAAAAAAAAAACCCTCACTTCATAAATTATGAATTTCATATACAGTGGTCCCTCGTTTTTCGTAATTAATCCGTTCCTGGAGGAGCTACTATAAACGAAATTTACGATTTGCGAATCAATTTTCCCCATAAGAAATAATGTAAATACAATTAATCTGTTCCTGACACCCAGAAGTATTAAAACAAAAAATTTTTTTACATGAAATATACATGTAGTACATAAACAATACAATGGGAAATGATGAATGAAAAATTAACAGCATAACGCTTACCTTTATCGGAGGTTCTTCTTAGTGTATGGGAGACTGGAGGAGGAGAGAGATTGGATTGTTTACAGTTTGGAAGAGGAATCCCCTTCCAGCAACACCTCAGGTACCAATTGCTTTTCTGGGGTTACTTCTCTTCTTTGTTTCTTAATGCCACTAGGACCAGCATGAGAGTCACTGGAGTCCTGTCTCACAAAATAACTGTGTAGAGAGCTCTGTTTCTGGCATCTCTTTAACACTTCCCTAAAATGGCCCAAGACTTTGTCACTGTACATATTTCTCACCTTCTATACCACAGGCTTGGCACTAGGAGCTTTCTTTCGAGCCATGGTAGCTTATTTAGTACTTGCAAGCACTAAAATGAGTGGAATATTATGAAATATTTCGTAGGAGCACTTGAGGGGACCTTCACTCACTGGTAAACAATGCCAGACTGGCTGGGTAGGGAATCCTCCCCGGCTCACACTGTGCTTATGCGTCCCGGACAAACTACTATTCGCGAGTCAACCTATGAAAAACGAGTCCATGTTTATACGAAAATACCCCTATGATTGGCGAAATTTACGATTGCCGAGAACTACGAAAAGCGAGGGACCACTGTACTAGCCATTATCTTTAATTTTATAATTTTTCTTCAGAACATTTAGAAATTTTAGTAGTTATAAGCTGAATATTTGGCTATATCCAGCTTATATGGACTTGTTTAAAATTATATTACAAAACTCACACTGAACAAATAGTCATTACACATTTACTTATTTGCAAGTCTCTGCTTGACAACCGTTACCAATTCTTCCCTTTTGATGGCCACTTCTGCACGTGTGGCTGTGTCTCGAAGCTTCACTATACCTTCTTGCACTTCAGACTCCCCAATGAGTACTACTAGGGGAATTGCATTATCTTCAGAATACTGAAAAAATAAAGTATGTGCATTATATTTATATAATGATGCTTAAAAAATAAGACTGCTAGAGCACCCATAAGCACTCTACTCAATTGTAAGTGGGTACAATAATTAACAGAAAAATCAGATATTAATCTGCATTAAAATAATTTTCTCCTAAAGAGGAAGTATTAAATACATAAAATGCTTCCACTGGCAAGTAGTAAGAGCACAAACATTAAGAAAAAATGGTATCAATAAACAGGAACCCTTAAACTCCAAAAGCATGTTGCAACAAATGTTAGAAAAGAAGATGGGTGGCAGGTAAAAGTTCTCAGGAGAATAATTTTATCTGAAGTGAACCTATCCAGCCAGGCTGTGTTTTCTACAATGCATTACTGACTGGCAACAGCAACATGTATATCTTGTCATGTTTAATAATAATTAGTGTATTTTTTTGAACCAGTCATCTCCCACCAAGGCAGGGCGACTAGAAGAAATTTACAGAGAAAGGGTTACTAGCCCCTGAATCCCAGCATTTTAGTTGCCTCTTACAACATGCATGGCTATATATTTTTTTTTTTTTACTGCATCAGCTGTATCCCACATTTAATAATTCAATAATTTAACATTTAATAATTTATCCAGGAGAAGGGGTTACTAGCCCTTTGCTCTCAACATTTTAGTCACCTCTTACAACACGCATGGATTTCAGAGAAAGAATTCTGTAATTTTGTTATTGATTATTTTTTTGCTCTATGTAAATGCCAAATCTGATTAGCAAGGGGTCTTCTCCAATGTATGAAATCCAGTTATATTAATGACCATAACCAGACTGGATTTTGTTCACTGGAATGCACAGAAGCCTGAATTTGTTATACACATACACACACAAGTATTTCAGAACTACCCAGATGCTAATGGTCAAGAATGAGCAGAATTTTGGAACAAATTTATACATTCTTAAGAATTAGAGTAGGTTCATTTCTAAACTATGATATATGCATTACAACAAAGTCTAAACATTAAACATTTGATACACTTTAGAAGCTGGTATTAAGTAGATTAAATATTTAGTATATGATTACCTGTAGCTGATTGAGGATCTTGGGATTATTTTTGTAGCTACTTTCTGCTTTAATTCCTGCTTCATGTAGAAGACCAAGAATTTTCAATCTCTCGTGTATCATTCCTTTACATGCAGCAGCAACAAACACTTCTGTTTGTGTTGATCGGAGCTATAAGATAAAATTAAGATTAGAATTATAACCAAGCACTAAAACCCATAAGGGTCATACAGCTCTGCAGAAAATTAAGAAATAATAGAAGAATAATAAATAAATTAAGTGGTACAACAAAACTGTTTAACATTTTACATTGACAGAGTTGCTAGTTTTTCCTGTCTCGAACATTATTAGGCTAATTTTGATTGATATTTACATTCATTATTACAGTCCCTGCACTCTAAAGGAGGGGTGGGGATATTTGCAGTTTTGAACTGTAGTATCAGCACCCCTCTGACAAGACAGTGACGGAGTGATGGTGAAAGTGTTTCTTCTATTTTGGGTCACCCTACCTCTGTGGGAGATGGCCGGTTTGTTGAAAAAAAAAAGAGAAATCAATATTTTCTTATGTTTTACAAATTTCTGAAAACTAACTTTTCTTTCCAATTTCCCAGGAAAGCCACATTAAAATCTTTACTTGTAACCAGTACCAAGGAGCTAACAGCCATTTTCCTTCATTAAAATACAAAAAAAGGAAACCTTAAACTGTACTTCAATCAGATATGTGTTTTTTTTTATCAACACATTGGCTGTTTCCCACCGAGCCAGGGTGACCCTATAAAAGAAGAAATACTTCATCATCATTTACTCCATTACTGTCTTGCCAGAAGCATGCCTACACTGGAGTTTACCTGGAGAGAGTTCCGGGGTTCAACGCCCCCGCGGCCCGGTCTGTGACCAGGCCTCCTGATGAATCAGAGCCTGATCAACCAGGCTGTTACTGCTGGCTGCACGCAATCCAACTTACGAGCCATAGCCCAGCTGGTCAGGTACCGACTTTAGGTGCTTGTCCGGTGCCTGCTTGAAGACAGACAGGGGTCTATTGGTAATTCCCCTTATATATGCTTGGAGGCAGCTGAACAGTCTCGGGCCCCTGACACTTATTGTATTGTCTCTTAACGTGCTAGTGACACCCCTGCTTTTCATTAGGGGGATGTTGCATCGTCTGCCGAGTCTTTTGCTTTCGTTGTGAGTGATTTTTGTGTGCAAGTTCGGTACTAGTCCCTCTAGGATTTTCCAGGTGTATATAATCATGTATCTCTCCCGCCTGCATTCCAGGGAATACAGGTTCAGGAACTTCAAGCGCTCCCAGTAATTGAGGTGTTTTATCTCTGTTATGCGCACTGTGAAGGTTCTCTGTACATTTTCTAGGTCAGCAATTTCACCTGCCTTGAAAGGTGCTGTTAGTGTGCAGCAATATTCCAGCCTAGATAGAACAAGCGATCTGAAGTGTGTCATCATGGGCTTGGCATCCCTAGTTTTGAAGGTTCTCATTATCCATCCTGTCATTTTTCTAGCAGATGCGATTGATACAATGTTATGGTCCATGAAGGTGAGATCCTCCGACATGATCACTCCCAGGTCTTTGACATTGGTTTTTCGCTCTATTTTGTGGCCGGAATTTGTTTTGTACTCTGATGAAGTTTTAATTTCCCCTCATGTTTACCATATCGGAGCAATTGAAATTTCTCATCGTTGAACTTCATATTGTTTTCTGCAGCCCACTGAAAGATTTGGTTAATGTCTGCCTGGAGTCACAGTTAAAAAAAAAAAAAAAAATGCACATATCAACACCCCTCCTTCAGAGTGCAGGGACTGTCCTTCCCACCTCTAGGACTCAAGTCTAGCTAACCAGTTTCACTGAATTTTTTCATGTTACTTTGCCATTACTTATCACTATAACTTATTAAAAAATTGTCTTGACAAAAGCATGCTGACATCACAGTTCACATGGCCCTCTGAACTTTGATCAGTATAGTCTTGATAACTTACCTTGTCATTATCTGCTCGCTGTTTTTGCTCATGAATGGCAAATAATCTCTCAATGCCAAAACTGACACCTACACAAGGCACAGTCTTCTTTTTTGGGTCAAACATCCCTACTAGTCCATCATACCTCCCACCTCCAGCAACACTTCCTACAGGACCTTCTTTAGCAGTCTGACCAGCCATTAACACAGCTTCATAAATCACTCCAGTGTAATAATCAAGACCTCTTGCAAGGCCCATGTCAAAAACCAAGTGGTTATCACAAGACAAGCTCTTACAATACTGATAGAGAAGTGTAAGATCTGAAAGACCAGCCTGTGAAAAAAAAAAAATTACTGATTAGCAAAAATTCACTTGGATGAAAATCAATAATTTAAAAAGCCTTCTCTAAAAAATATAAGGTAGCAACAATCAAGTGAAATTAATCACTTTCAATAGAGGTATTTGGGTCACTGGAACCACTCATATTGTTCTTTGTAAACAAGAAAATGACAAAATATGCATTAAAAACAAGTAAATTTATATTAAAAAAAAAAAAAAAAGTTTTTAACAGCAGAAATATGAAAATGTCAACTCTACATCAGAATTTTAACACAAGGTTATACTGACAATGTAATGGACAAAGTTCCCATTTATCTGACTTTGTATAGAATGACTTATAACAAATATCAATCAATTACTTAAAACGAATATCAATCAAATTCCACCTTTAACCCTTAAACGGTCAAAATGTATATATACGTTCACTCGCGCAGCGCCCTGAATATTTTGAGAAAAAACAAAAAAAAAAAATTTATATAGAAAAAAGAGCACATTTTTTAAAGTATTTTAGAATAAAAAAACAAAATTTAGGGTCAGTACTTATGGAGATATGAGGCTGAGAAGTTGGTACTGGATGCTCATGTGACAGCAACATCGAGTCTTGCCGCTTGCAGAAGTGTTGCCGATATACCTTTTTTTCTATTTTTCATATTTTATGTAATTTTTGTTCTGATAATTACAGGATAATTGCAGGAGGGAAGAGGAGCGATTGGTGGAATGATGATGTAAAGAGAGTAGTAAGGGAGAAAAAGTTAGCATATGAGAAGTTTTTACAAAGTAGAAGTGATGCAAGGAGGGAAGAGTATATGGAGAAAAAGAGAGAAGTTAAGAGAGTGGTGAAGCAATGTAAAAAGAGAGCAAATGAGAGAGTGGGTGAGATGTTATCAACAAATTTTGTTGAAAATAAGAAAAAGTTTTGGAGTGAGATTAACAAGTTAAGAAAGCCTAGAGAACAAATGGATTTGTCAGTTAAAAATAGGAGAGGAGAGTTATTAAATGGAGAGGTAGAGGTATTGGGAAGATGGAAGGAATATTTTGAGGAATTGTTAAATGTTGATGAAGATAGGGAAGCTGTGATTTCGTGTATAGGGCAAGGAGGAATAACATCTTGTAGGAGTGAGGAAGAGCCAGTTGTGAGTGTGGGGGAAGTTCGTGAGGCAGTAGGTAAAATGAAAGGGGGTAAGGCAGCCGGGATTGATGGGATAAAGATAGAAATGTTAAAAGCAGGTGGGGATATAGTTTTGGAGTGGTTGGTGCAATTATTTAATAAATGTATGGAAGAGGGTAAGGTACCTAGGGATTGGCAGAGAGCATGCATAGTTCCTTTGTATAAAGGCAAAGGGGATAAAAGAGAGTGCAAAAATTATAGGGGGATAAGTCTGTTGAGTGTACCTGGTAAAGTGTATGGTAGAGTTATAATTGAAAGAATTAAGAGTAAGACGGAGAATAGGATAGCAGATGAACAAGGAGGCTTTAGGAAAGGTAGGGGGTGTGTGGACCAGGTGTTTACAGTGAAACATATAAGTGAACAGTATTTAGATAAGGCTAAAGAGGTCTTTGTGGCATTTATGGATTTGGAAAAGGCGTATGACAGGGTGGATAGGGGGGCAATGTGGCAGATGTTGCAAGTGTATGGTGTAGGAGGTAGGTTACTGAAAGCAGTGAAGAGTTTTTACGAGGATAGTGAGGCTCAAGTTAGAGTATGTAGGAAAGAGGGAAATTTTTTCCCAGTAAAAGTAGGCCTTAGACAAGGATGTGTGATGTCACCGTGGTTGTTTAATATATTTATAGATGGGGTTGTAAGAGAAGTAAATGCGAGGGTCTTGGCAAGAGGCGTGGAGTTAAAAGATAAAGAATCACACACAAAGTGGGAGTTGTCACAGCTGCTCTTTGCCGATGACACTGTGCTCTTGGGAGATTCTGAAGAGAAGTTGCAGAGATTGGTGGATGAATTTGGTAGGGTGTGCAAAAGAAGAAAATTAAAGGTGAATACAGGAAAGAGTAAGGTTATGAGGATAACAAAAAGATTAGGTGATGAAAGATTGAATATCAGATTGGAGGGAGAGAGTATGGAGGAGGTGAACGTATTCAGATATTTGGGAGTGGACGTGTCAGCGGATGGGTCTAGAAAGATGAGGTGAATCATAGAATTGATGAGGGAAAAAGAGTGAGTGGTGCACTTAGGAGTCTGTGGAGACAAAGAACTTTGTCCTTGGAGGCAAAGAGGGGAATGTATGAGAGTATAGTTTTACCAACGCTCTTATATGGTGTGAAGCGTGGGTGATGAATGTTGCAGCGAGGAGAAGGCTGGAGGCAGTGAGATGTCATGTCTGAGGGCAATGTGTGGTGTGAATATAATGCAGAGAATTCGTTAGTTTGGAAGTTAGGAGGAGGTGCGGATTACCAAAACTGTTGTCCAGAGGGCTGAGGAAGGGTTGTTGAGGTGGTTCGGACATGTAGAGAGAATGGAGCGAAACAGAATGACTTCAAGAGTGTATCAGTCTGTAGTGGAAGGAAGGCGGGGTAGGGGTCGGCCTAGGAAGGGTTGGAGGGAGGGGGTAAAGGAGGTTTTGTGTGCGAGGGGCTTGGACTTCCAGCAGGCGTGCGTGAGCGTGTTTGATAGGAGTGAATGGAGACAAATGGTTTTTAATACTTGACGTGCTGTTGGAGTGTGAGCAAAGTAACATTTATGAAGGGATTCAGGGAAACCGGCAGGCCGGACTTGAGTCCTGGAGATGGGAAGTACAGTGCCTGCACTCTGAAGGAGGGGTGTTAATGTTGCAGTTTAAAAACTGTAGTGTAAAGCACCCTTCTGGCAAGACAGTGATGGAGTGAATGATGGTGAAAGTTTTTCTTTTTCGGGCCACCCTGCCTTGGTGGGAATCGGCCGGTGTGATAATAAAATAAAAATAATTACAATTTGTAGTAGTTCTTGTCATTTTATAACCAATCTTTGTTCTGACACTAGTATTAGGTACTGAAATTGTACTCAAATTGTCACAAACACACTGACAGGTGGACATTTACACTTGCCTTAAGTCATTTACTTTTGTCTTGGAATATCTACAAAGTATTTTTATGTCCCCGCAATGTTTTGGATATGTGGAAGTATAGGAGGAGGAGGAGGAGGAGGAGGAGGAGGAGGAGGCGGAGGCGGAGGCAGAGGCGGCGGTGGCGGCGGAGGCGGATAATAAATAATAATAATAATAGGTAATAATAAGTTCCTTTGAAGCATGAAAAACAAAGTCCACCCCTGACAGTGACATGATAAGATGAGATAACAACTGATAAGAGCTGACGTTTGATGAGCATACACGAGGGTGGGGGAGAGTGCAGCTGATAAGAAAAGATTAGAGATGATATTTGATGAGCATCGCCCTCATTTTGTTTTCGCTGGTACACAAACATGTCTGTCTGTCAAGCTCCTTGTCTATCTGTCTATCCGTCTAGCTCTTTGTCTCAGAGAGAGCCACAAGACTGCGTCGTCATCACGTTTACTCACATCTTCAAGCAGAGTACAGCACTTTGTCTGGATTTTTTGGGTTATCCTAGGTAATTTACACTATGTATACTTGTATTTATGTGTACCTGTGAGACAGAGATAGAGAGCCATAGAAAGAGAGACAGACTGAAAGAGATACAGAGACAAAGACAGAAACAGAGACAGAGGAAGACAGAGATATAGAGATAGAAAGATACAGAGATGGACAGACCCTAAACTTGGGGTTAACATTACTTTCCTCTTAAAAGAGGAGTGTTAATATGACATTACATCAGTGAATCCTTGGTGTTTGCCACAATGTTTGCTCTAGCTGGCGCTCAATTTAAGGGCGCAGGCCGCCGAGAGGCCGCCGAATCTGAGCCTAAATACACCAAAAAATCGAAAAAATGTGGAAAATGAGTTATTCATACAGAAAAATAGCTTAACTCTTTGGCAACACAATGGTACAAGAATCAATGTTCTACAACGTTTCTACAAGAAATTATAGTCATTTATATCAGGTATGGTGGCGGCGATGTAGGCCATAATATAGCGAGAGTCCACCAGCAATATTCGATATAAATGAGTTACTCCTCGTCCCCTTCTTCTATTGTTTGGTATGTGACTGATAGAAAACGGTGTTTTGAAGAGGATAACTGCACTAGAACATCAGTTTACTAAGAAATACACCGAAAAAAACACGATTTCCGCGCAAAAAAAATTTTTTTTTTGAGACGGTAGGCCGGCCGACGTTCTAGGCCTATATCTCGGAAGTAACTTATTCACTTATTTCGCTCCATAACTCCATTATTAATGATTGTATTGAAATGATTTTCACAGACAATATAAAACAAAGTGTGTTTGAAATTGAGACAAAATTTTTTGGAATATCTCAAATATTTTTGATTTTATGCGGGGTTAAAAGGCAGATATTTTGGCGAATGCCAAAAATTTTGTCAAATGTATTTTTTTTTTAACTTGATAATAAGATATATTAGATGAAATGGCTATGTTAAAATGTCGTGCTAGTTGTATTCTAACAGTTGGGAATGTCGGAAGTGCCACTCGTAGTGCCAATTTGTCAGGTCATGCTGCCATATATAAAAATAATGTTTATATTTTTTTCTCTGTTGTTTGTTGGCCAATCATACTGAAACTTTGTCACATGCTTCTACATATGTACCTCTAAAAGTACACCAAAAATAAAATAAATCGGTTGAAAAATAAAAAAACAAAAAAAAACGTTAGTAACTTGGCGGCCTGCGCCCTTAACTGGCACTCCCACAAGGTACTAAGTGGTCCCAGATTTTTTTAATACTGCGCACACTAAGTGTTAGGACCCATTCTATGCTGACAAGGCATCTCAGGCCAATTGTGCCAAATATGAAGGCAGGAAAAATAAAACGTGTATACACGTTTGGGGTGCTACGCGTAAGAACATATATATACGTTTGGACTGTTTAAGGGTTAAGCACTTCTGATAAGCTGACAGATCCCATGACATTTCTTAGATCTGCGTAGCATCTAAGATAATATTATACAAGGATTTCTATAATCATTTCTTTATGGTACTGTCACCTTTTTAAAAATATGCCCTTTGCTGCTGTAATTGCCACATTTATGTATACAAAACACGATCAAAAACCACAGTTTAGAGGACCACGTTACTTTTTTTCCAGCATTCCACATATTTTACTTGGACAAAATCACTTTCAGAATAGCTCTTGGGAATTTTTTAAACAATATATGAAATACTAGATAATATAAGAAATGAAAAACTTACCATACCACTGGCAGGGATTGAACTCATGGCGAGTGAGTCGTAAAACTCCATGCTTATGCACTGGCCTGGAGTTTTACAACTCACTCGCCATGAGTTTAATCCCTGCCTGTGGTACGGTTTTGTTTGCAATTGTCATTACGATTTTGTGAGTCACGAAAAATCTTACCTGAGCATCTGTTGAATCTTTTAATCTCGCATCATTCTTCAGCTTTTCTAGGAGCTCTTCTTTGCCAGATAACTTAACATATTCTCCAATAACATCAGCAACATTACCATCCAAACCTTTCTCATCTACCATTTCTTTTCTTACATCTTCCCATGGAGATTTGTCAAGCTTGTCCACTGCTGAGCAAATAGGACGGAACTTCTCAACTGGAACACCACATGCACCAAATACGCCATCAAGAATTTTCCTATGATTTACCTAAAGGAATAATTAAGATTGATACTTTATAAACAATCTAGGGAAAACAAATTTCTGTAAATTATAATGAAATCTATATAATACAGTACAGTAGAACCCCTGTATCCGTGGATTCGGTTTCCACTGTTTCAGTTATCTATGGTATGCCATGGTCTGAAAATAACCCTTAATTTTGCTTAATGATGGCCCTCAAGGTGCAAAAGTAGCAAAGCCTAAGAGAAGCCGTGAAATGCTTCCCATCAGTGAAAAAGTGCTAATTCTTGACTTATTGTGCATAATTTGACAGTTGAAATTTTATCATAGGTATGTAAACGAAAAATGGCTTGTATGTAGGGTTCGCTACTATCCAGTTTTGAGTATCCACAGAAGGTCTTGGAACATATCCCCTGCGGATATGAGGGGACTACTGTTTATTAATTATTTAATCTGTTCTGTGTGGTCACTACTAAGGATGGTAACCTTTTCTTCAATTTTTTAAACACATTTTCTGATACACTGTCAGTAAGCTGACACAGTGAAGAGGTTCAATGTTATTTTCATGAATATAATTCAATAGCAAGGGTAAATTATTCACAAAGAAGAGCAACTTCAACTATCAAGACAAAAGTAATCACAGATGTAAGGGCAGTGCATGAGGTGCTCCTAAGAGATGAATTTTCCTGTAGGTGTTCAGTACATATTAAAAATACATGAAAACATAAGGTAAAACTCATGATTTCTGACCTTAATGATAAAGTCCCCTAAGTTGAGTTTTAATAACACTTGATGAACTAGCTGTACACATTCAGCATCTGGAATCATTGCATCATACTGCCCCGCAATATCAAAGTCACACTGGTAGAATTCTCGATATCGGCCTGCAAAACACAAATGTAATAACTTCTTGCCACTCAAAACATAGTATATTAACCAGACTGAAATTTATATTAATCAAAATATGAACAAAAGTAATACTGGTAAAAAACAGGTATTATGTGCTACAATGTCCATATTTCATATTACACTGCTAAATAACCATTTCGGAGAGAGATTAATAAGTTTAGAATACTTGGGCGGCAAATAGATTTAGCAGAAAAACAAAAGGGGGAAGTTGTTAGATGGGGAGCAGGAGGTAATGGAAAGATGGAGAGAATATTTTGAGTTGTTAAATGTTGCTAATGAAAGGGCAGCAGTAATATATATTGGGTAGGGAAGGATAATATCTGGTAGGAATAAGAAAGAGCCAGAGGTGAATGTGGGTAAAGTATGAGGAAATGGGTAGAATAAAAGATACAACAGATGTTGTCAGTAGGTAGGGGATACATTTTTGGAGTGGTTGGTGCAAATGTTAACATATGCATGAAACAAGAAAAGATGCTTAAAGATTGGCAGAAAGCATGAATAGTTCCTTCATATGAAGGGGAAAAAAAAAAAGAGAGATGAGAGAGAATAAACCTCTTGAGTATATTGAGGATTAATATTCACGAGTTAGGGCTAAGACAAAGCAGGACTGCAGAGGAACAAGGAGGATTTAGCAAGGTATTGGATTGTGTTTACAATGATGTATACAAGTCAACAATACAATAAACCCTCAATTTAAATGACTAAAAAGGGAAAAGTGGGTGGCCGGTAATGATGATTGTGGTGCACTGATATGACCCTGTTTTGCTGTGATCATAACAAGTCCATTCCATCACTAACAGACTTTGCCCTCCATTTATAAATCAAGTGACCCAGCGGATTTTGTCCCATACTTCTGAAGTTGGTTAAATCAAGGGTTTCCGTGCTTAGATAAGGGTAGGGAACTGTTTGTTGCATTTATAGATTTGGATAAGGCATATGATGCACTGGATATAAGAGACAATGTATAGTATAGGTACTAAGTTACTAAAGCAGTAGTTATACAGAGAGTGAGGCTCAGGTTAGGGTATATAGGAAAACAGGGAACTATCCAGTAAAAGCTGGCCTTAGGCAGAGATGTGTGATGTCACCCTAGTTGTAAAAGTGAACTGCTATGGTGTTGGGGAGAGGTGTTGATTAAAAAATAATGAAGCTGATAAAAAGTGGCAACTGTTTCAGCTGCTCTTTGCTGATGGCTCAGTTCATTTTTATCTGTTGAGATGTTGCTAAGGTTGGTGGAAAAGACTGGGTGCATAAAAAAAAAAATGAGAGAGAAGGGGTTATTCCAGGAGGTGGGAGGGAGGGTGTAAAGGAGGATTCAAGTGATAGGGGCATGAGCATTCAGTAAGCATGTGTAAGCATGTGATAAATGGTTTAGAAAACGGACAATTTGAAGATTTATTGCATAAGTGTCTCAATCTTTGTGCAAGCACGTTAGATTAGAGACCAGAGTGGTTTTAAGAATTTGACGTATTATTGGAGTGTTAGCAATATATTATTTATAAAGAGATTCAGGAAAATCAATCAGCTGGACTCAAAGTTCTGGAGGTGGGAATGCAGTGCCTGCAGTCTGAAGGAGGGGTGTGGATGTTACAGTTATGAAATTTAAATTTTGGTGTCTACACACTTCTGGCAAGACAGCTATAGAGTGAGTCACAGTATAGGTTTCCTTTTTCTAGGTCACCCTCAGCCAGTAGTAAAAAAAAAAAAAACTACTAAATAAAGTTTAGTAGATATGATTCTACTAACAACACATTTATTAAGAAATAACCTAAAAGAAAATTTTACCATAACCCTTTTCCTAAGGCCTCATTTTTTTTTCTTTCCCCTCCCCTCCCTCCATATTTTCCACACAATCAAAACCTCCTTATTTCTATTACATATAAAATAAAATTGTGTTGAATATATAATTTACTGTGTATATAATATATACACTGTAAATATATAATTTACAATGTATATAATGTAGTGCCTGCACTCTGAAGGAGGGGTGTTAATGTTGCAGTTTTATAACTAGTGTAAGTGCACCTCTGGCAAGACAGTGATGAAAATTTTCCTTTTTCAGGCCACCCAGCCTTGGTGGGAGATGGCCGATGTGTTAATTACAGCACACCTTCAATAATATCAAACCCCTTAGGTACCCCTCTACTTTGGATTTTACTGGGTTATAGAAACAACAATTGTTACTGTTAACCCTTAATTTTACACTCGCCAAGTCATAATCTTGTATCGAAGCTTGTATCCCACCTAATGTGTGGTCCAGCCACATACAGAATGATGCAGCCATAATAGGTTACACCTAAAGATGGTATCTAATGAAGGACAATCATTACACCAATTATTGATGTGTGTAATATTACTAAATTTTAAAAGAGAAACTTTCGTTTTTTCTTTTTAGGTCACCCTGCCTCAGTGGGATGTGGCTGGGTTATTGAAAAAAAAAAAAAAAAACTGTACATTATAATATTTGGGGTTTCCTAGATACACTAGCTAAGGATAGTAAGACAGACAGATACATGCGTATCCTATTTATGGGAAGGAAGTAAGGAAAGGGAAAATGAAAATGGGTAAATCACCTTAAGCAATGAAAAACTTGTTAAAAATGCTGGTGCATTTTTTTTTACTAAGGCTACATATTTAATATGAAAAAGAATATATTAAGAAGTAAGTGTGGAGTCATAAAGAGGACAAAGTAAACCAAAACAAAGGGAAGACTGTTATATATCAAAAGTAGCTGAACACACAGAAACTCCATTTAATGACATGAGGTAGTATGCATGAAGCAACAAGCAGCCATAAATTAAGGTTGATCTTAAAGCACAACTGTTTGAAAGTTGATCAACTTAAACAGCAGCCCTGAATGAAATAAGTGACATGAAAGATGTATAATGATGGCAGTGCAGGCATAGAGAAACTGAATGTAGATTGCAAATGAGTAGTATTGAGTGAATTGAAGAAAAAAAAAAAAGAAATTACATTAAAATTACAGTTTTCAGTATATTCAAAGAAAGTTGTGTATTTTAGTTATCAATACTGTTTTAAAGAAATAGCATGGCACAGAAATTAAATATAACATTCATATACAACAAAAAACACTATATTGCTGGATTGAATATAGTAACAGCTGATTTTGTTTCATACCTCTAGTCATAGCTGGGTTGTCTCTACGGTAGACACGAGCTACATGATATCGCTTAATGTTTGAAATTTTATTCATTGCTACATATCGGGCAAAAGGGACTGTAAGGTCGTATCTCAAGGATAGAATTTCACCACCTTGGTCTTCGAGATCATATATAAGCTTAGCATCTTCTCCATATTTGCCGGTAAGTACTTCCTGGTAAAAATACAGATATTACATTTAGTTTTAATTCACAGGAAAAGCAAAAGAACAATAAAAATTAGAATACAGTGGACCCCCGCTTAACGATCACCTCCCAATGCAACCAATTATGTAAGTGTATTTATGTAAGTGCGTTTGTATGTGTATGTTTGGGGGTCTGAAATGGACTAATCTACTTCACAATATTCCTTATGGGAACAAATTCGGTCAGTACTGGCACCTGAACATACTTCTGGAATGAAAAAATATCGTTAACCGGGGGTCCACTGTATATGCTCTTATCTTTTCTGACTGATAAAGCCTGCAAAACAATTATCCTATAGCTGACTGCTTACATGGTGTTTTCACTAACTGGTCTCCAATATTTTAAATGCAACCAACACACAAAACTCATCATGATCAAAACATCAAATCATAAAGACTTTAATTTTAATAATCTCTATAAAACATGTTGGCTAAAAACAAATAAAACTCTCATGACTTTCAACCTATGCACTATATGATAATTTTTACACACTGATAAAGCATAACAGTTTTAACAATAACTATTCATCTGCTACATTCTTTTTCATTCTCTGATTGTGCAACAAGAAGGAATTATTATTTCTCTCTCCTTCCTCATAATCATGAGACTGGGCCAAATTCAGGATTTCACTGGATGGCAATGGAGTATTGGTGGTAATGACCAATATGTTCATTACTGTAATAATAATAATGGTAGTAGGTTGGTAGACAGCAACCACCCAGGGAGGTACTATCGTCCTGCCAAGTGAGTGTAAAACGAAAGCCTGTGATTGTTTTACATGATGGTAGGATTGCTGATGTCTTTTGTCTGTCTCATAAATATGCAAGATTACAGGTATGTCTTGCTACTTCTACTTACACTTAGGTCACACTACACATACATGTACACATTTATTTATACACACTCATCTGAGTTTTCTTTGATTTTATCTTAATAGTTCTTGGTCTTATTACTTTTCCTTTTATATCCATGGCGAAGTGGAATAAGAATCTTTCCTCCGTAAGCCATGCGTGTTGTAAAAGTCAACTAAAATGCTGGGAACAATGGGCTAGTAACCCTTTTTCCTGTAAAGATTACTAAAAAGAATAAGAAGAAGAAAATTGTCAAAGTGGGAAGTCCGAATGTGCGTGGATGTTGTGCAGATGATAAGAAAGAGATGATTGTGGATGTTATGAATGAGAAGAAGCTGGATGTCCTGGCTTTAAGTGAAACAAAGCTGAAGGGGGTGAGAGAGTTTCAGTGGAGAGGAATAAATGGGATTAGGTCAGGGGCTTCAAATAGAGTTAGAGCTAAAGAAGGAGTAGCAATAATGTTGAAGGATAAGCTATGGCAGGAAAAGAGGAACTATAAATGCATTAATTCAAGGATTATGTGGAGTAAAATAAAGATTGGATGTGAAAAGTGGGTTATAATAAGTGTGTATGCACCTGGAGAAGAGAAGTGTAGAGGAGAGAGAGAGATTTTGGGAAATGTTGAGTGAATGCATGGGGAGTTTTGAATCAAGTGTGAGAGTAATGGTGATTGGGGATTTCAATGCTAAAGTGGGTAAAAATGTTATGGAGGGAGTAGTAGGTAAATTTGGGGTGCCAGGGGTAAATGTAAATGGGGAGCCTTTAATTGAGCTATGTTTAGAAAGAGATTTGGTAATAAGTAATACATATTTTATGAAAAAGAGGATAAATAAATATACAAGGTATGATGTAGCACGTAATGAAAGTAGTTTATTAGATTATGTATTGGTGGATAAAAGGTTGATGGGTAGGCTCCAGGATGTACATGTTTATAGAGGGGCAACTGATATATCGGATCATTATTTAGTTGTAGCTACAGTTAGAGTAAGAGGTAGATGGGAAAAGAGGAAGGTGGCAACAACAAGTAAGAGGGAGGTGAAAGTGTATAAAAATAAGGGAGGAGGAAGTTCGGGTGAGATATAAGCGACTGTTGGCAGAAAGGTGGGCTAGTGCAAAGATGAGTAGTGGGGGGGTTGAAGAGGGTTGGAATAGTTTTAAAAATGCAGTATTAGAATGTGGGGCAGAAGTTTGTGGTTATAGGAGGGTGGGGGCAGGAGGAAAGAGGAGTGATTGGTGGAATGATGAAGTAAAGGGTGTGATAAAAGTGAAAAAGGTAGCTTATGAGAGGTTTTTACAAAGCAGAAGTGTTATAAGAAGAGCAGAGTATGTGGAGAGTAAAAAAAAGAAAGGTAAAGAGAGTGATGAGAGAGTGCAAAAGGAGAGCAGATGATAGAGTGGGAGAGGCACTGTCAAGAAATTTTAATGAAAATAAGAAAAAAATTTGGAGTTAAACAAGTTAAGAAAGCCTAGGGAAAGTATGGATTTGTCAGTTAAAAACAGAGTAGGGGAGTTAGTAGGTGGGGAGATGGAGGTATTAGGTAGATGGCGAGAATATTTTGAGGAACTTTTAAATGTTAAGGAAGAAACAGAGGCAGTAATTTCATGCACTGGTCAGGGAGGTATACCATCTTTTAGGAGTGAAGAAGAGCAGAATGTAAGTGTGGGGGAGGTACGTGAGGCATTACATAAAATGAAAGGGGGTAAAGCAGCTGGAACTGATGGGATCATGACAGAAATGTTAAAAGCAGGGGGGGATATAGTGTTGGAGTGGTTGGTACTTTTGTTTAATAAATGTATGAAAGAGGGGAAGGTACCTAAGGATTGGCGGAGAGCATGTATAGTTCCTTTATATAAAGGGAAAGGGGTCAAAAGAGACTGTAAAAATTGAAGAGGAATAAGTTTACTGAGTATACCAGGAAAAGTGTACGGTAGGGTTATAATTGAAAGAATTAGAGGCAAGACAGAATGTAGGATTGCGGATGAGCAAGGAGGTTTCAGAGTGGGTAGGGGATGTGTAGATCAATTGTTTACATTGAAGCATATATGTGAACAGTATTTAGATAAAGGTAGGGAAGTTTTTATTGCATTTATGGATTTAGAAAAGGCATATGATAGAGTGGATAGAGGAGCAATGTGGCAGATGTTGCAGGTATATGGAATAGGTGGTAAGTTATTAAATGCCGTAAAGAGTTTTTATGAGGATAGTGAGGCTCAGGTTAGGGTGTGTAGAAGAGAGGGAGACTACTTCCCGGTAAAAGTAGGTCTTAGACAGGGATGTGTAATGTCACCATGGTTGTTTAATATATTTATAGATGGGGTTGTAAAGGAAGTAAATGCAAGGGTGTTCAGGAGAGGGGTGGGATTAAATTTTGGGGAATCAAATTCAAAATGGGAATTGACACAGTTACTTTTTGCTGATGATACTGTGCTGATGGGAGATTCTAAAGAAAAATTGCAAAGGTTAGTGGATGAGTTTGGGAATGTGTGTAAAGGTAGAAAGTTGAAAGTGAACATAGAAAAGAGTAAGGTGATGAGGGTGTCAAATGATTTAGATAAAGAAAAATTGGATATCAAATTGGGGAGGAGGAGTATGGAAGAAGTGAATGTTTTCAGATACTTGGGAGTTGACGTGTCAGCGGATAGATTTATGAAGGATGAGGTTAATCATAGAATTGATGAGGGAAAAAAGGTGAGTGGTGCGTTGAGGTATATGTGGAGTCAAAAAACGTTATCTATGGAGGCAAAGAAGGGAATGTATGAAAATATAGTAGTACCAACACTCTTATATGGGTGTGAAGCTTGGGTGGTAAATGCAGCAGCAAGGAGACGGTTAGAGGCAGTGGAGATGTCCTGTTTAAGGGCAATGTGTGGTGTAAATATTATGCAGAAAATTCGGAGTGTGGAAATTAAGAGAAGGTGTGGAGTTAATAAAAGTAATTAGTCAGAGGGCAGAAGAGGGGTTGTTGAGGTGGTTTGGTCATTTAGAGAGAATGGATCAAAGTAGAATGACATGGAAAGCATATAAATCTATAGGGGAAGGAAGGCGGGGTAGGGGTCGTCCTCGAAAGGGTTGGAGAGAGGGGGTAAAGGAGGTTTTGTGGGTAAGGGGCTTGGACTTCCAGCAAGCGTGCGTGAGCGTGTTAGATAGGAGTGAATGGAGACGAATGGTACTTGGGACCTGACGATCTGTTGGAGTGTGAGCAGGGTAATATTTAGTGAAGGGATTCAGGGAAACCGGTTATTTTCATATAGTCGGACTTGAGTCCTGGAAATGGGAAGTACAATGCCTGCACTTTAAAGGAGGGGTTTGGGATATTGGCAGTTTGGAGGGATATGTTGTGTATCTTTATATGTGTATGCTTCTAGACTGTTGTATTCTGAGCACCTCTGCAAAAACAGTGATAATGTGCGAGTGTGGTGAAAGTGTTGAATGATGATGAAAGTATTTTCTTTTTGGGGATTTTCTTTCTTTTTTGGGTCACCCTGCCTCGGTGGGAGACGGCCGACTTGTTGAAAAAAAAAAAAAAAAAAAAAAAGTGTGGAGTTAAGAAAAGTATTAGTCAGAGGGCAGAAGAGGGGCTGTTGAGGTGGTTTGGCCATTTAGAGAGAATGGATCAAAGTAGAATGACATGGAAAGCATATAAATCTATGGGGGAAGGAAGGCGGGGTAGGGGTCGTCCTCGAAAGGGTTGGAGAGAGGGGGTAAAGGAGGTTTTGTGGGCAAGGGGCTTGGACTTCCAGCAAGCGTGCGTGAGCGTGTTAGATAGGAGTGAATGGAGACGAATGGTACTTGGGACCTGACGATCTGTTGGAGTGTGAACAGGGTAATATTTAGTGAAGGGATTCAGGGAAACCGGTTATTTTCATATAGTCGGACTTGAGTCCTGGAAATGGGAAGTACAATGCCTGCACTTTAAAGGAGGGGTTTGGGATATTGGCAGTTTGGAGGGATATGTTGTGTATCTTTATATGTGTATGCTTCTAAACTGTTGTATTCTGAGCACCTCTGCAAAAACAGTGATAATGTGCGAGTGTGGTGAAAGTGTTGAATGATGATGAAAGTATTTTCTTTTTGGGGATTTTCTTTCTTTTTTGGGTCACCCTGCCTCGGTGGGAGACGGCCGACTTGTTGAAAAAAAAAAATAATAATAATAATAGTTATAATACCATGGAGTGAAATTTACAAGAAAATTTACATTTTCCTTGGATGGGGGAAGGGTTGGTGCAAAGAGGGCTTGAAAACATATTAAACAATATACTGGACAAGGTAATACAAGCAGGAAATAACCCTCTCCGTTACACTTGTGATACTAACTGCACTTTTCTAACAGACTTTAAGAACAAAAAATCAGTTTTTGCTTTGCTTAAACTAACAATGCTCATTCCTGCTATGTTAGAGAGTATATAGTCATGCCAAAAATTTTTTAAACACACCAGCCATGTCCCTCCCTCCCTCCCTTTCCTTTCTTACTTGGAACAAGATAATAGTCATGGATGGACCTGAACATCAAAAACTTTTCATTTTCAATTTTTAACTGTGAACTACAGCCCATACATAAATTTTGGTGATAGTAGTAACTGAAGAATAATAAAAAAAAAAAACCAGTAGCAGCAGTACAGTACAGTAACATAACAAAACCGTTATCTATAAATCTTAAACCTGAAATGTTTAGTGACGATTATACAGGATAGGGTGTCACAGAACACCCAGCATTTACAAGTACTCCTTAAAAATCCAATGCCACATTAGTAGATTTTAGCAGTATTAAGATGTCACAGTAGTACTTATTTTGCAAGTTAAAAGGATTTGGCATTAAAATATAAAGAATAAACAAACATAAGCACAAACCTTAAGCTCAAATACTGGCGTTTCAATTTCTACGGCTCCATGCATGTGAAATACATTATATATTATATCAAAAACCTGAAAAGAAAAATTACAAAATTTATGACAAGAAATGGGAAACAATAATGTTCAATTGAGGGAAGCAGAGGGGAGGTCCAATTCCTTGGATCAAAAGCCTTTCACTAGCATCAAGGAGCCTCCCTTTTGTTAGTTTAGTTTAATATGTTTATTATGCACCCCATACCCATCCTGTGGGCAGTAGTCAAAAGATTACAGAGGTACATAATTGGTCCAGGGACTGGACTCCAAAGTTTTGATAGCTGAGCAAGTTACAGAGGTAATGAACTCACAATTTACAAAGGTAATGAACTCACAATTTACAAAGGTAATGAACTCACAATTTACAAAGGTAATGAACTCCCTTTTGGAGACACCAATTTTCTTATATGTGTAAAAAATTATACATGTACTACTTAATATAAATTATAGAATTACCAATCAAATGAAGCATTCTTTGCTTTTGCTATCAATGATAATCTCAAATAATAATTAGGGATCATGATAAGAAATTAAGTAAAAAAAATCCTGCGAGTTTAAAAATGTGAAAAAATTTAAATTATCATCTTCTTTCAACAAACTGGCTGTATCCCACTGCAGTAGAGGTGACCAAAAAAGAAAAATGAAAGTTTCTCTTTTAGTTTTTGTAATGTATACAGAAGGGGAAAAATTAAAATTTTTTTTAATTCACATTTCTTATTGTAACTCAAACTAATTACTTGATACTGCTTATTAATTATATCTAAACCATGTTTATACATGCAGAATACACTTTAGCAAAACCACTTCAAATGATAACAAATATACAGGCATATAAAAAGCTTATTGTTACTCCATTTTTCACTTTTTAAGAATGGAAAAGTGTAGACACTAAAAGTTAAAGATTTTTCCAGTTACAAAATATCACATAATGCAGTACAGTACAACTTATTCTACATTATCCTTTTGGTGGTATTTGTGCAGTACGGTACAAAGATATATTGTACAATACGGTACATGGCTGTTTTGACTATCAGGAAAATTCCTTAATCCAAAAACTTGTAAGCCCTGCCTGTAATTGTACTGTATCACCCATACTCATTAGTATCATCAGAAAATACAAATGCTCTACCATATTAGTGAAATATCCAAATTCACATCTCAGACATTTCAAGACACTGGCAGGCCCTGTTTTACAGCGTTTCGCTAATATGTAAAGTAGTCAATTATACCCATTCTTTATTTATTCCAACTTCTTACAGTAAATATATTCACCGCTCACTACATGCTAAGGTTGAAAATATTTTAAGTTAAGTAATGTGTGAGCACGTGTGACAGTAGTAATTTTTCCTACTGGGGCCAAAGCTGGAGGTTCTTACTAATGTCACTGAGGTCAGAACTGGGAATTTTTCCTACTGTCATTGGTGTCAAAGCTGGAGGTTCTTACCATAGTCACTGGGGTCAAAGCTGGAGTTTCTTACTAATGTTACTGGGGTCAGTACTGGAGGTTCTTACTTAGGAGTGAATTGAGACAAATAGTTTTTGGGGACCTGATGAGCTGTTGGAGTGTGAGCAGGTTAATATTTTGTGAAGGAATTCAGGGGAACCAGTTAGCTGGACTTGAGTACTAGAAGTGGGAAGTATAATGCCTGCACTTTAAAGGAAAGGTTTGGGATATTGGCTGTTTGGAGTTGCCTCTGTTGTCTAGGCACCTTTGCAAAGACAGTGATTATGTATGAGTGATGATTAAAGTTTTTTCTTTCTTTCTGGGTTACCCTGCTTTGGTGGGAAATGGCTGACGTGTTAAAAGAATGAAGCCTCCTGCTTACTGTATACAGTATTTGATCTTAACCCGCTTCTTTGTTTCTCATATTACTTTTCTGCAACTTCTAGGCATATTCCTACCCACAAGATGATGATGATGATAATAAAACTTGTGTTAACCTTACTTGTCTTCTGACTGCCATTTCCACTGGACCATAGTCTCGAGTACCCTTCGGCGTTTTTAATGTAAATTTCCCAGATTTTCCTTTGCCGTGCTCACTGCCTTTATTATTCTGAAGGATGACAAATTGCATGTTAGTACTTCCAAAGCACAATGTCTGCAAGTGCTTAGATATGGGTAACTGCAGTGTTAATCAATACAGTACTGTGCATTGTTTCCATTACAATAAAATTTAATAAGCTTCATCAAATAAATTAAAAAATACACAACACAAATATAGTATATACACATAGTAATAAAAATTGCATTGTATTTTGAGAATAATGCAAAGATATACAATATATACATATTATAACAAGAACAGGAATTCACAAACCAGACAGTGCTTTGAAAACCATGCTGTCAGCACCTACGCACTGCAAAATGCACTCTCAAAAATATTTTTTGAGGTGTTACACAAAGGCTATTAACTAATAAATTCTGGTTCCATTCAAGACTTTTCATTTTTTATGAGGCATAAAGATGTTACTTAAAAAACTGTGCACTCTATTTTAAATATAATCATACTAAGAAATTTTCTGACAAACTATAATATTAGTCTCAACAGTTCTCTGTCTTAACTGGACTTGACAATGCTGGCTCACTGGAATCAGCATCATCATCTGCTATATACAATATATATTACAAGTGCATCCAGTAACATGTAACAACCAAAAGACACTGGAAATATTAGTAATTTGCTATTCAAGATTAAGACGTAATAACTATTAAGAAATAAATAAGTTCATACTAAGTACGTATGCAGATATACAACATAAGATTTAAAAAAAAAAAACAGCAGCACTGTGAGGGCACTGACAAAAACAAAATACAGGATATAAAACATCAATTCCAGACTGTGTAACAATACAGTTCTTGCTCATTAAAATAAAATATTCAAGCAATGTAAAAGTCAGCACCTTTAGGACAGAGTGCATGCCAGTTTCTAAAAAATTAAGACAAAAATGCCAGTTTCTGGAGTACTGTATTGATTTATACAAGAAATTTTGCTGGGTTTCAGACAACCTTAAGAACTGCTAACACTGTCACTAGATGGAAGCAATGCAATACTTGAGGCCTAACAGCACCCTTGTTACTTATGAGGTTCATTCATCAAAAGGTAACAATGTGAGGATTACAATTGACAACCTAAATGCATAAGCATTGTAGGGTCTATAGGCCACAGATGATTACATTAATATGAAATAGATGCAATGTACTGATCGGTGCTACTTTAGCATGCAGTCTACCGCAATATTCGTAGTCTACGCTGTGAACTGACCTTTAACATGCAGTCTACCATTTATGTTAGAATTTTTTTTACCTGTGCTGACCTTTTTTACCCTTTTAACCTGAGTGCTCCTAACCTAACCTAGGTTAAGTTAGCTTAGGTTTGTGCTGGTAGACTGCACGTTAAATTAGCACCCACTGATCACTATCACTATAATTAATAACTTCATATTTTTTTTCACTATCCTCATCATCACTGCTGCAGTCATTATCATGTAATGATGTAATTACTTATTTCTTAGGTGGAAGAAGGGACTCACTAATGAGTGAGGCCAAGAGACAATCTATTTTCTGGTAGATATAGTAGCTGGTGTTAGCATCACTGTTATCAGACAATTACTTCCATGAAATTCAATAGTCTTCTTCACTGCCAATGAAGATGTACACAAAACTATTTTCCTATGCATTAGAGTAACCTCAACTGAACTATCACTTTTACCATCACAGTTATTGCAAAATACTGCACATAATTTTAGCATTTACCCAAAATGTATCAATGGAAAATATTTTAAAACTAACAAAAACTAACCTGTGGCCCTTTCTTTGAATTCTGCATTTCAGCATTCACTTTTATGCTCTTGTGAACAAAGTCTGACAATGTCTCATCCATCTGTAAATGAAACAAAAAATGAAACAAGAAAGTAAAACATTCACATTTTCAATAGCAAAATATTATCTTAAGAGGAGCTGATATATTTTTCTCACTTTAATTGCAGCATCTCTCCCTTTGCAGTACAGTACAGTAAATCTAATAAACAAAAATGGCACTGTATTGTGATTACTGCAATTTTGGGGTGAATATAATAATAAAGCAATTATGAAATGTTAATCTTTTTAAGGACATACACAAGTTTAATATCTTTAAAGTTTAAAAAATAATGTCAGGCCAGTTACATTGATTTACACAGTAGGATTTCTCTAGGTCATGCACAATAATGCTAAAATGATTTGTTGAATGACTTATAAAGATACTGCACTGTACATTTTTTAAAGCATTACACACTATTGAATATGCACTGCCATCCTTTTCTAACACAACATAGCTACTGAACATGCACTGCCACCTATTTATCAATACCCATTGCAATCTCATGCTGACAAAGTGCTACTATTGTTTAAAATACTGCATTCATAAATGTTTGTGCCAAGCTGCAGTTCTTTATACAGTGCTAATGTTATTCTGACAGTAAGATATTAAAACCAAGCTTCATTATGCTATATATGTGTGATATATAACACTGACATAAAATGCCTTTATAAAAAAAAAAGAAAAAAATACTGGTATATACAAGGTACAATTGGTTTGTAAATGAAATTAAAAATATAAATAACTAAGGAACACAAAAAATCTCTAGCTCAAATCTCTCTGGCACATTTTTCAATCATTTTAAGAAAAATGGGCTAAAGCAGCATAATAATGCTTAAAAATTAATAGAAAGAAAAATATCTTTTAACTAGATTGGGAGACTCCTGGCCTACCTTACACACTATGCTTCTTGTGCCAGGGAGAGATGAGAGAAGTGTGGTAGATACTTGAATGTTGATGCCTCTACCAGCAATCAGTCGGTTCACTGGTCTTAAACTTCTATGCAATGAACCAATAAAAGCCATTTCAAGTCTTCTTTTGATCGGACTATTAGCCTAATTTTTCTAAATCACCAAGTATTCCCTGACCCCTGATTTCTGGTGTTCTTGTTTCACAGCCAGAGATCTACAAAACTGTGAAGAAATGGGAAATACTAATAGCAAGTTTAAATATTGGTTGATTATCTATATTTTCAGGGAAGAGTAAAAATGTCCTGGGTAGCTATTTAGAAAGCTTGATAAATAATAAATGAGAAGTAAATTAATATGATGAGATTTACCTGTAACTGAAGGTGTTAGTCCTGCATTTCACCTAACTTAATGGAAATTCAGATCTGTAATTGTTTTTTAAATATTCAGATAAGCTGTTAATACAAGACCTAACAACACCCTAACATCTACTCATTTCAATTGTAACTATAATTGTTTTCTATCATATTTTGGAGTGTAGATTACATGGAAATTGGAACTGCAGCAAGGTTAAAGCATCTCCCAATGAGTGATAAAAAAAAGTGGCATCACACCTTACAACCAACAGTATATGGGAGTAATGCCTGGCACTCGCTGGAGGAGAAAGTAGCCATGTGTGCCGCCCAGCGTCGCACATTATGTAATGTGTGGGGGGGACTGGGGGGTACACAGCCTGAGGCTAGGACAGCTATGTCTGCCTTAGAAGGCTGGAAACCTCCCACATAGCTGTACTCTGACAGATGGACATCCAGAAGTACTAGGGGCAGCTCCTGTATTGAAGGATACTCAATTACTTGATACTAGAGAAACTATTTAAATCTGTATTACCTAATGGCATCTCTAAATCTAGGGCTATTATTGGTATAGTGTTCAAGAGAAACCATACTTAAAAAATATGCAGTACTTTAAGGTACTTTGAAAATAATTATGAATTATTAAAACCTTAGTTATTATTAGGGATAAATTAAAACAAAAAAGAAGTGATCTTTTAAGCACATTCAGAGATACAATTTTCTTCCAATGTTGATAAATTTTACTAAAACTTTCTTACTTTATATAGTTTCAAAAACAAATTGGACAGATACATGAGTGGACCAGTTGGATGTGAGCAGGACCTACCTGTGACCAGTTTCAAGTCATTCTATCCTTGCAGCCTGAAGTTAGACTTCCCTTGTCTAGTATGGGCCAATAGACCAACTGTAGTGCATCATGGGTAGGCAAACTACATTGCCTCAGTAGTTTTAATAATCCTATATTCGCACAGCTCAAGTCAACCAAATCCCTAAACTGTTCAACAGAAATAAATTACTTTGACTTTTTTGAGTTATCCTAGGTAATTTACACTATATATGATAACTGTACTTACATATACCTGTGCTTAAATAATCTTACTTATTTATATATAAGTAGAAATGTATCGAAGGCTTTTCCTGTAATATTCAATCTTGAAAGTTGGTAATAATTAAGGAAAACATTTTAAATAAGCAGGGTTTCAGTATGTTTGTCAACACCTTGAATATGATTTAATCTTACATAATCTATTTCCATCGTAAACTTAGATGAGACCCACAATAGACAACTAACTTCTAGGTACCTATTTACTACTAGGTAAAGAGGGAAAGCTGGTGTTAGGAGGCTTGCTCATACATCTCGCCCCACATGGGATTGTACAATTAAAGGTTTTTCATGCTACATGAGGTGTTTAATTCTGGCTCACTAATTCCCTTCTAACATATGTCTAGCCATAGGTAATCATTACATTCATGGGTATGCAATGAACCCACAGGGATCACAGAGCACCTGGGGAATGGGAGGTAATCACATAATCCAAGGAAGGTTTAATTTCTTGAATCAAGAACCCTTGACTGTAGGCAGCTGTATTTCTAGCTCTGAAAACAGGGTCATAATAATAAAAACCTACACTAAGATTTTGTTTGGATTTTTAACCCGGAGAGTTAGCCACCCAGGAATAAATTATTTCATTAGTTTAATGCCTAATGCCTTAGTATAGTTGGTAGAGCACTCAGCTCACACACAAAGTTCCATGGTTCAGTCCCCGGTACAGGTGGAAACATTAGGGCGTGCTTCCTTAAGTCACCTACTGTCCCTATTCACCTAGCAGTAAAATAGGTACCTGGGTGTTAGTCGACTTGTGTGGGTTGCATCCTGGGGACAAAATTGACCTAATTTGCCCGAAATGCTCTGCATAACCAGGAAGTTTTTATATAGTATGTCACTGATGTCGGCTATGATCTGTATAAGTTGTCTCATGTACTAGTAGAAATAAATATTATTATTATTATTATTATTATTATAATGATGGGGCTGATAAACCCACAGGGGTTATACAGTGTCTGGGAATGGAAGGAAGTATATAAATATATAAATAAGTTTATATAGGCACAGGTACACATAAGTACAATTATTTTACATATTGTGAATTACCTAGGATGAGAGATAAGGATAATCTAAAATTCAAAGTGACTTATTTCTATTGGGGTTGATATAAGGGCAAGATAGGTCAAATTCCTTGGAACAAAAGCCCCTCGTAGGCATCAAGGTAATTCCCTAAGAGGGTGTTAAATACCTATGATAACTGTAAATAATCTTATCTTAAACTCACCCACCTTTTCAGTGTTACATCAGACATTACCGGTACAGATGCAACATCTCATTTTTTGTTCTTTATAGCCATAAAATAATTTCACATAGAACTAGTGGCATTGCTACTCACTTGATGACTCCATTTACAAAGTATTTACAAACAAAAGCAGTCTAATTCCCTCACAATAATATAAAATATGAAGCCTCACCTTGCTGTCCATGCTTCTGTTGTCACTGAGCATTCAACATGCAGGGAAAACTAATATTATTAGATTTTAGGGAAGAGTTTCGAGTATTGATTCTTTTACAAAAATTTAATACAAATATTCGAACTTATATGAACTGCAAAAACGTTTCATGCAAAAGTTACGGAGCTCATACGATAATTTCAGAATTTTGTTAACGCGCATCACGGTGTGACGTCACAGAATTGAGTTACTTATGTGTTTTAAGATAAGATAAGATAAGATTTGGTTCGGATTTTTAACCCTGGAGGGTTACCCACCCAGGATAACCTAAGAAAGTCAGTGCGTCATCGAGAGACTGTCTTATTTCCATTAGGGTCCTCAATCTTGTCCCCCAGGATGCCACCCACACCAGTCCACTAACACCCACTTGCAAGGTGAACAGGGACAACAGGTGTAAGGTGACTAACACCCAGGTGCTACTTACTGATAGGTGAACAGGGACAACAGGTGTAAGGAAACACGCCCAATGTTTCCACCCTTGCCGGGGATCGAACCACAAATACAAACAACACAAATACTGTGGAAAAAGACACTTATGTACAGTTCAGGACATTTATTAAAGGAAACGTTTCGCCACGAGTGGCTTCTTCAGTCCTAATACAGAGAAAACTAAGAAAACATTTATATATATAGTGGCAGGAGTCAGGTGAGGTGACGCGTGGGTAGAGGTGGTAGTAGTAGTAGTAGTAGTAGTAATGGAACTAAGGAGGTGAGGCAAGAGAGGGACCTGCTGGCATCAAGTAACACCAGTTCCCAGGATGGGTAATATCCTCTTGCTTAGTAATTTTGAAATACTGTAACTACCGGATTTTTGCTTTATAGTGTTACTGACAGAAATTAGTGCAGCTTCAGTGCATTTTCTCCGTCTTAAGTCGTCTTCTTTAATAACTAGTTTTAGCTTCATTGAATTTCATGAGGTGTCCAACATCGTCTCTATGTTGAACACATGCGTTTTTGCGGTCATCATTTCTGCAAGCATTTTTGTGTTCTGCTATTCTAATGTCCAGAGTTCTGGCTGTTTCCCCTACATATACTTTGTCACACCCCCCACATGGTATAGTGTAGATTCCTGCACTTGTGCCAGAATCATGCTTGGGTTTTTGTATCAGGTTCCTAATAGTAGTTGAAGAGCTGGTAGATATTTTAGCCAGTTTTCTGTCAAACATTTTTGAAACATTAATGTCAACGTTGCTGACCGGTAAAACGATGTAACTTGGAGGCTTTTCTTCAATTTGATAGGTGTTGGTCTTGCTGAGGATACGTGCCGCACGTTTCCTACAGTCACGTATGAAGTGTAGGGGAAAGTGCAGTGAACTAAAAGAGTTGGTGATGTATGTACATTCTTCTTCGAGGAACTGTGGACTGGAAATTCTGTAGGCTCTCAGAAAGAAGCCGATAACTACCCCTCTTTTAGTTCTTGTGTCATGGTGAGAGAAGAAATGTAGAAGATCGTTCTTGTAGGTAGGCTTCCGGTAGACTTTAAAAGAAAGTTTATTTTTCCCTGTGCGTAAGAGAACGTCGAGAAAAGGTAATTGGTTGTCCTTCTCCTCCTCTAGTGTAAATTTAATAGTAGGTTCCAGAGTGTTGATGGTGTTGAGGATGCCCCGTACGTCAAGATTTTTGGGTACAATGACCAAAATATCATCTACGTACCGCATCCATGTAACTGAGCGAGGGATGTTACTGAGGATCCTTCTTGATTCCAGGTCCTCCATATATAAATTGGCAAGAACTGCACTAAGGGGGGATCCCATGGACTAGCCATGGGATCCCCCCTTAGTGACTTGTGACTTAGTGACTTGAAAAAGCCCACTGTGTGGGTGAAACGTTGTCAATAAAGGATCACATTACACTGCATTTGTGTTTATATTTCCACCATCAACACTCTGGAACCTACTATTAAATTTACACTAGAGGAGGAGAAGGACAACCAATTACCTTTTCTCGACATTCTCTTACGCACAGGGAAAAATAAACTTTCTTTTAAAGTCTACCGGAAGCCTACCTACAAGAACGATCTTCTACATTTCTTCTCTCACCATGACACAAAAACTAAAAGAGGGGTAGTTATTGGCTTCTTTCTGAGAGCCTACAGAATTTCCAGTCCACAGTTCCTCGAAGAAGAATGTACATACATCACCAACTCTTTTAGTTCACTGCACTTTCCCCTACACTTCATACGTGACTGTAGGAAACGTGCGGCACGTATCCTCAGCAAGACCAACACCTATCAAATTGAAGAAAAGCCTCCAAGTTACATCGTTTTACCGGTCAGCAACGTTGCCATTAATGTTTCAAAAATGTTTGACAGAAAACTGGCTAAAATATCTACCAGCTCTTCAACTACTATTAGGAACCTGATACAAAAACCCAAGCATGATTCTGGCACAAGTGCAGGAATCTACACTATGTTAGGTAAGACACATATGCAACAGTTAGGTATCTTTATTTCGAAACGTTTCGCCTACACAGTAGGCTTCTTCAGTCGAGTACAGACAAGTTGATAGAAGCAGAAGATACTTGAAGACGATGTAATCAGTCCATCACCCTTAAAGTTTTGAGGTGGTCAGTCCCTCAGTCTGGAGAAGAGCATTGTTCCGTTGTCTGAAACAATATGAAGTTGAAGTGACAGGATGGAGCCCTTTATATAGTGCCAGGAGGTGAGACGTAGATTGGTTTGGGAGGGCAGGTCCCTCTCAAACCCAGCCGTTCTCACTAGTAGAGGTCGAAGTTGATGGTCTGTACCAAGATACCCTTGTGTTGTAGTGTCTGACAGAATGAACATTAAAATTGGTATAAAATACCGACAGATTGTTAGGTAAGACACATATGCAACAGTTAGGTATCTTTATTTCGAAACGTTTCGCCTACACAGTAGGCTTCTTCAGTCGAGTACAGACAAGTTGATAGAAGCAGAAGATACTTGAAGACGATGTAATCAGTCCATCACCCTTAAAGTTTTGAGGTGGTCAGTCCCTCAGTCTGGAGAAGAGCATTGTTCCGTTGTCTGAAACAATATGAAGTTGAAGTGACAGGATGGAGCCTTTATATAGTGCCAGGAGGTGAGACGTAGATTGGTTTGGGAGGGCAGGTCCCTCTCAAACCCAGCCGTTCTCACTAGTAGAGGTCGAAGTTGATGGTCTGTACCAAGATACCCTTGTGTTGCAGTGTCTGACAGAATGAACATTAAAATGGTATAAAATACCGACAGATTGTTAGGTAAGACACATATGCAACAGTTAGGTATCTTTATTTCGAAACGTTTCGCTACACAGTAGGCTTCTTCAGTCGAGTACAGACAAGTTGATAGAAGCAGAAGATACTTGAAGACGATGTAATCAGTCCATCACCCTTAAAGTTTTGAGGTGGTCAGTCCCTCAGTCTGGAGAAGAGCATTGTTCCGTTGTCTGAAACAATATGAAGTTGAAGTGACAGGATGGAGCCTTTATATAGTGCCAGGAGGTGAGACGTAGATTGGTTTGGGAGGGCAGGTCCCTCTCAAACCCAGCCGTTCTCACTAGTAGAGGTCGAAGTTGATGGTCTGTACCAAGATACCCTTGTGTTGCAGTGTCTGACAGAATGAACATTAAAATGGTATAAAATACCGACAGATTGTTAGGTAAGACACATATGCAACAGTTAGGTATCTTTATTTCGAAACGTTTCGCCTACACAGTAGGCTTCTTCAGTCGAGTACAGACAAGTTGATAGAAGCAGAAGATACTTGAAGACGATGTAATCAGTCCATCACCCTTAAAGTTTTGAGGTGGTCAGTCCCTCAGTCTGGAGAAGAGCATTGTTCCGTTGTCTGAAACAATATGAAGTTGAAGTGACAGGATGGAGCCTTTATATAGTGCCAGGAGGTGAGACGTAGACTGGCACTATATAAAGGCTCCATCCTGTCACTTCAACTTCATATTGTTTCAGACAACGGAACAATGCTCTTCTCCAGACTGAGGGACTGACCACCTCAAAACTTTAAGGGTGATGGACTGATTACATCGTCTTCAAGTATCTTCTGCTTCTATCAACTTGTCTGTACTCGACTGAAGAAGCCTACTGTGTAGGCGAAAACGTTTCGAAATAAAGATACCTAACTGTTGCATATGTGTCTTACCTAACAATCTGTCGGTATTTTATACCATTTTAATGTTCATTCTGTCAGACACTGCAACACAAGGGTATCTTGGTACAGACCATCAACTTCGACCTCTACTAGTGAGAACGGCTGGGTTTGAGAGGGACCTGCCCTCCCAAACCAATCTACGTCTCACCTCCTGGCACTATATAAAGGCTCCATCCTGTCACTTCAACTTCATATTGTTTCAGACAACGGAACAATGCTCTTCTCCAGACTGAGGGACTGACCACCTCAAAACTTTAAGGGTGATGGACTGATTACATCGTCTTCAAGTATCTTCTGCTTCTATCAACTTGTCTGTACTCGACTGAAGAAGCCTACTGTGTAGGCGAAACGTTTCGAAATAAAGATACCTAACTGTTGCATATGTGTCTTACCTAACAATCTGTCGGTATTTTATACCATTTTAATGTTCATTCTGTCAGACACTGCAACACAAGGGTATCTTGGTACAGACCATCAACTTCGACCTCTACTAGTGAGAACGGCTGGGTTTGAGAGGGACCTGCCCTCCCAAACCAATCTACGTCTCACCTCCTGGCACTATATAAAGGCTCCATCCTGTCACTTCAACTTCATATTGTTTCAGACAACGGAACAATGCTCTTCTCCAGACTGAGGGACTGACCACCTCAAAACTTTAAGGGTGATGGACTGATTACATCGTCTTCAAGTATCTTCTGCTTCTATCAACTTGTCTGTACTCGACTGAAGAAGCCTACTGTGTAGGCGAAACGTTTCGAAATAAAGATACCTAACTGTTGCATATGTGTCTTACCTAACAATCTGTCGGTATTTTATACCATTTTAATGTTCAATCTACACTATACCATGTGGGGGGTGTGACAAAGTATATGTAGGGGAAACAGCCAGAACTCTGGACATTAGAATAGCAGAACACAAAAATGCTTGCAGAAATGATGACCGCAAAAACGCATGTGTTCAACATAGAGACGATGTTGGACACCTCATGAAATTCAATGAAGCTAAACTAG